ACACCCGGGAGGGAGCAGAGTCTGCCATCACATGGGGGACATGGACTCCCCAACTCCTAGGCACGCGGACAGGAACCAGAAGATGGGAAGGCTCTTTTTCTCTCTCAAATAAATAAAACACATTTAAAAAAATGTTCCCTTGCCGCATACACATGTGTCCCCAACTCTCAACAGCGATGTTCTGGCCCGCTGCGAGCCGCGGCCGGGAGGGTCCTGGGCTCCGTGTTTGTAACTGCCCCAGCCTGCCTGTCGGTGGGAAGAGGCTCATCATCTCCAGGCACTTGCTCCTTTGCATCTCAGTGTCGGCAGTGTAACGGCCATTCAAGGACGAGTTGTCCAGCTGCTGTGACGCGCAGGGCTTGCTGTCTCAAGGAGGTCATGTTCCAAGCACAATAGCGCTGGCCTTGCTAAACAAACAAGACAAGACAACATCCAAACCTCCGATGGTTAGAAACGTTAACTGTTATTCTTACATTTAAACAAATACGGATAAGGTACGTGGTGTCCCAGAATGCACACGAGTCCTGGATAAACACTAGTGAAGCGAGAGACCCTGGGAGGTGTGGAGAAAGGAGCCAGGGCCCCGGGCACAGCCACGCGGGGAGCTGCAGAGACCGAATGGACACTCCGTCCCTGGTGCTGAGGTCTCCGCCATGTGCCTGAGATCCAGCTCTACCTCCAAAGTGTCTGCTGTTGACCCCAACAGATGGTTCAAGGGTTCCACAGGGAGGTTAGAGAGTCTGCCAAGGGATCCTAAATAATCCAGGAGCAAAGCTCCTTACCTCTCAGGAAACGCCAGGAGCTGACACTCCTCCGTTTCACCCACTTGCAAACTAGCAAGTTATCCTCACGTGGCTTCACAGATGCTGGCAGAGGCAGGAAAGCCTTGTGGCTCAGGAAGGAGCCTCCGTCGGGCCGAGCCACGCAGCGCCAGGGTCCCTGCAGGTTTGCACCGGTTTGCTGAGCTCCAGTTTGCATGAGACGATAAAAAAGCTGAGGTGAGCAGAGTGCCCAGAGTGCATCACAGAAGAGCCAAGCTTTGACACTGCAGAGAAAAGATGCCTTTAAAAACAACGATCTGAAAGGTACAGTCAGAAAGAGAGAGAGAGAGAGAGAGAGAGAGAGAGAGAGAGAGAGCTCCTCCTTCAGCTGATCTACCTCTGAAATGGCCAGGGCTGGGCCAGGACGAAGCCAGGAGCCTCTTCTGGATCTCCCAGGCACCTGTCCTCTCCTGCTGCCCTAGCAGAAAGCTGGACCAGAAGGAAAGCAAATGGGATCCGACCCTGAGCCCGTATGGGATGCCGACATGGCTCCATCTGGGGTAGAGGGGTGGCCGTGGAGGCCCTTGGCTGGGAGACTGCTAGCAGAGTGCTGCTGGCCTGTGAGAGAGGCACGAATGCTCATTTCCTCGTCAAGAACCTGTGAAAGACTCTCCCCCAACATGCACTTGAAGGCATGTTGTGTGTGCGCCTGTGGACACTCACTCCCTGTAACACATCTGGAACATACCAGTCTGCAGCAGCTGGGCCGAGCCAGGATGAGGTAGCAGCCTGGTACTCCATCTGTGTCTCCCACGCGGTGAGGGGCTCAGTTCCGTGAACCATGACCTGCTCCCTCCCAGGATGTTGGCTAGAAGCTGGGACCAGCAGGAGAGCCCAGATGCAAACTCAGGTACTCTCCCAAGTGGTGCCACTGCTGGTGCCGAATGTCTGCTCCTCCCCACTTTAAAGATGAGCAACTGAGAGTGAAGCAAATGGAGTAACTGACCCAGGCTCTCGTGGATAACAGCTGGTAACTGACCCAGGCTCCAGCCCACGCCTGTCTGACCTGAAGCTCCCAATTGTCCCACTGCCAGCTGCCTTCTGTAGTGCAAGTCACAGGATGGACCAGGGGCAAGAACACATTCTGTGTGGAAGCAGGGAGAAGACGCAGAAACAGCTAACCAGCTTTGCTGGGTTCTGGCCACAGCCCGGCAGTGTTGTTCAGGACCAGCCGCAGCTGTCCGATGTGTTGGCGTCTATCGCCACCTTGTGGCACTGAATGTGCCTTGCAGGAGAATTTGTTCATCTTTCAGACCCTGAAACAACTCCATGACCCTTAGAGTTGGAAGTTTCTGCATTAAAATAAAGCAAAAGAAAGAAAATGCCCTTCTCTTAGGACAGGTCTAACTAAATAGGGATGTCTTCAAAAAGACATCTGACTTTGGGACCAAGGAATGAAATCAGCACTCCCTACTGTAAAACATATGGAAGATGGAAGGTTCATTAAATCGAGGTGTGAAATACAGGGCCGACTAGAGGTGCTCTATTTGAGGAAGCATTAGCGAGGGCCGCTCTTGGCTGAAGCACAGCTTTTTAAAGAAGGCGTGTCCTGGGCCAGCTAGAGCCATGGGATTCCCTTTGTTTGTTTCGGGGTTTAACCTGGCAGAAGTGTGAATCCATTCTGTGACACAGCCCATGTGATAAGCAATCCTATTCTTCCAGAGAGAAGCAGAAGCTCTCTGACTGTGCTTGCAGGAGCGCAGCCCCCCGAGTCAAACCTGGGGAGCTAGCTCTAGACAAGGCTGTAACTCTCCAGAGCTTGTGTCCTCAGAACCCCAAGAACGCAGCTCTCGTGGAGCGCCGGGGACCTGGGAGTGGCCCTTTGCTGAATGCTTCAGCTCCTGGCCTTCTTTGCTGCTGCCCTCACCGTGTCCCTGAAGTGTCCAGAGCTCCGTCACTGACAGCTGCCAAAGCGATGTGCCCTCCTGTGCTCAGCCTTACCGACTTGGCCTTTCTCCGAGGCCCTGTGGATTCCCTCTCCCTGGGAATCTGTCTCTCTTCCGCCCCTTTTCCAACTGGAACTTCCTGGTTGATGCAGTAGACGGATGTTCTTTACGTCTGCTAAGACTTAACTTGCCTCCAACATCTGCCCTGTGTTGCGGCACTGGGCTGTGTTGTGACGGTCTGTGCACATCTGTCTCCCAGGAGCGTGCAGCGCTGCTGGGGGGAGACTCCCCCGTGCAAGCAGTGCCACATTGTGGAGACTGGCGCGGGGAGGCTCCCGGCTGCAGCTCCATGGTCCAGCGGCGTGAAGGCACTCGGCACTAGCTGGCCTCGGCAAGCCGTGACGGGCAGCTCTATGCATGCTTGGTTTCTAATGATGTTTCTCTGAAGGGAGAAGTCAGAACAAAAGAATAAATATGAAAACAAAACTACATTAATCTACATGTCCCGGATACTCGCTCAGAAAGCAGAAAACCAAATCTTGATTTTATTTCTTTTTCTCCTTTAAAAAACTTGTGGCCTAGTGGCTAAAATCTTTGCCTTGCATCCACCAGGATCCCATATGGGCACCGGTTTGTATCCCAGCAGCCCCCCTTCCCATCCAGCTCCCTGCTTGTGGCCTGGGAAAGCAGTGGAGGACGGCCCAAAGCCTTGGGACCCTGCACCCATGAAGGAGACCTGGAAGAAGCTTCTGGCTCCTGGCTTTGGATCAGCTCAGCTCTGGTCATTGCAGCCATTTGGGGAGTGAGTCAGCAGATGGAAGACCTCTCTCTTCTTTCTCTGTAAATATCTGCATCTCAAGCAACAACAAATAAATCTTTTAAATCCCTTCAAATATTTTCATGGCTTGATAGTTAATTTTTTTAAGTTGTTGAACAACATTTGATTGTAAATTGCCATAGCTTGACTATTCATTGCCTACTGAAGGGCATCGTGCCTGGTTCCAGTTTGGGGTGATCGCGAAGGAGCTGCTATAAACATTCCCTGTGTTCGCACACTCAGATGCAGAGCAGGCAGGCGAACGTTTGTTTATGTGCCTCACTCACAGGTGGGAAATGCTGCTAGGCTGGACCTCCACCCTAATTCCTTATTTTTGGTGTGTTTGTGTCTTTTTAAAAATTTTACTTATATTTATCGGAAAGTCAGATTTATAGAGAGGAGAGACAGAGAGAAAGATTTTCCATCCCCTGGGTCACTCCCCAAGTGGCTGGTGTTGAACTGAACAAAGCCAGGACCCAGGAGCCAGGAGCTTGTTGGGGGTCTCCCATGGGTGCAGGGTCTCACGGCTTTGGGCCGTCCTCGGCTGCTTTCCCAGGCCACAGGTAGGGAGCTGGATGGGAAGTGGAGCTGCCAGTGCCCATATGGGATGCGGGGCCATGCCAGGCGAGGACGTTAGTCGCCTGGCTACCGTGCCCGTGTCTGTGTCTTTAAAGTAGGCTTATTGTAGACAACACAGAATTGGGTCTTGGTGTTGGGTTTTTAAAATTCTCTCTCATCCGTTTTCATTGACACATTTGAATTGATAATTGCAACAGCTGAATAGCTATCGCATCCATATTTACTCTGTGTGCTACGTTTGGCTTTCACACCTCACTCAATTTCCTAATTTTGCATTCTTTGCCTTGGGAACCTGCACGGACTCCTGAATTCAGAAGGCGGTCCTGGCTGACAGGCATTATTTGGGTGTCTGATGGCAGAAAAGTGCACACCTCCCTGGCAGACGGTGACTTGTGGGTACTCCCATGGCGCGCACAGGGTCCGGACAGAACTCTGCTGCGGCCTCCAGCCCCCACGCAGACAGCTCCTAGTGGCTTGCGGGGACACTGGATGCCGGGCGGGCATGGCTGGGGGGACACGGGAAGCAGAGCGGGCGTGGCTTCCCTTGCCCACCCACAGGGTGGAGTGTAGCGTTGCCCTGACGACCGTTGCTGGGTCGCAGTGCACCAGGCTAGACTCTGGGACCGTGGAGCTATAAACGCGCAGTTTACGGGTGAGATGTGGGAATGGCAGGGTTTATTGGGTCTCCTGGGCACGCAGGGCTGCTCTGGCCTGCACGCACCCTAGGAGACCACGCGGGGAGCCACGAGCTCACGGGCTTTGCACGCTTCACCATGCGCCGTGGGGTGTTCATTCTGTGGCAGAACAATGGGGGTGGGGGAGGGAGTTGGTGGGCGCCAGGCCGCGGGAGCGAGGGCGCAGGCTGCGTGATCAGGGCTTTGGTTCCCTTGCAGAGCCATGGGCAGCAAGAAGAAGGACGCTGGCCTGCAGGTAAGCCTCCCGAGGCGCCCCTATCCCCCCGCCTCTCCGGAGGAGCCCGCAGTGTGTGCGAGTCCTCCTCGCGCGCTTCTCTTGGTGTATGTGCTGCCGAAGCGAGCGCGTGCCCTTCTGTTTCAAAGGCAGAATGCATCCAGGACCTCTAGGGAGCTCGGAAAAGAAGTGCCTGCTGCCTGGATTATAGAACCATGTCACCTAGCTGTGCATGAGAATAAAGTAAAACGGAGTGTTGGGGGCAGGGCCACGAAGGCAAGAAAGCCCCAACTCAGCCAAAGCGGCTGCCTTTTGGGGTTGAAGCACGGAGCTTGGGGGCAGATCTGCAAGTGCTCCGTTATGCTCGGATCCTTGCTGAAAGCAAGGCTGACCCAAAGGTGCCACAGGCCCCGCTCACACCTTCTGCCCGGTAGGGCGTGGCGTAGTCCAGCGTTTGCAGTGCTGGTCCACCACCGTGCTTAGGGCCCCGGACCCCGCACCCCGCTGCCCGGCTTGCCTGTTACGTTCCTCACAAGGAGGGTGTGCGTCCGGATGACAACACACTCCGTACATCCTGGAAGGCGATGTGAAGACTTTCCCACTTCTGAGAGAGAGAGAAAGTGCTTGCCTTCTTACAAAGAGGGGTTGCAACTGTCGTAGGTTTGTTACAGATGCACTATCGTCTTAAAGGGATACAAACCTTACAACCTTAGAAGACCCGAATTAGGAGCAAGCCATTTTCCTAGTCTTTTTTGAAAGACTTTTAGAATTTTTATTGGAAAGTCAAATATACAGAGGAGGAGGAGAGACAGAGAGGAAGATATTCCATCTGTTGATTCACTCCCCAAGCGACTGCAATGGCTGGGTCAGGAACTTCCTCCAGGTCTCCCACACGGGTGCAGGTCCCAAGGCTTTGGGCCTTCCTCCACTGCTTTCCCAGGCCACAGGCAGGGAGCTGGAAGGGAAGATGGAGCCGCTGGGATACAAACCAGAGCCCATGTGGGATCCTGGTGGATGCAAGGCAAGGACTTTAGCCGCTAGCTTACCGTGCTGGGCCCTTCCTAGTATTTTGAGGGTCATAGTTCCAAACCAGTTTCTCCTGTAAAATAAATAAATAAAAATAAAAATAAACAAAGGAGCATATTAATTAGACAGGTGCAGAGGGTTTGCAGTGCGGCTGCCTGCCAAGTGCCCAGATGCAGGGCTCGGAGGGCCCTTGTCAGCCGTGAGCAGGTGGGATTTGCATGTCAGCTGATGGGATGTGATGGGAGGAGGTCTTAAGGCGCCATCTGGATCTCCTGGGAGGAAATGCCACACGCAGCCACGGGGGCGTTCCCCAGAGTGACCAGCGTGTAGTCTGGGCAAGTGTTAAGGACACAGAAGTAGCTGAAAACTAACCTGATCCACACTGGGCAGACCGCGGGGCTGCGGGGTCCACACTGGGCAGACCGCGGGGCTGCGGGGTCCACACTGGGCAGATCGCGGGGCTCCGAGGAGACCCACACTGGGCAGACCGCGGGGCTGCGGGGTCCACACTGGGCAGACCGCGGGGCTCCGCCCAGAAATCCAGCCCGTGGTCCAGGCTGCTCTGTGACCCAGGCTGGCCTGGTTGGCAGGTTGGCCACGATCTAAGAATTGAGCAGTCAGAATGTCAGTGACTGTAGCTATGTGGAATAATGTACGCAGGTGTCATGGGATAGCAGGTTGGTAAATTACTTTGGATTAACAAAAAAACATCCTTTAGGCTTACAAGTTTTCCACATATTTTAAGTTGTTTCAAAGTAAAAGAAATTACAGAAAATAGAGTGTTTTAAAACTTTTTTGCCTTTATTGAGAGTTAGAGCTTCAGAGAAAGAGGAGAGATATATAGAGAGAGTTTTGCATTGTTGTTCACTCCCTAAATGGCCAGAATGGCAGGGCTGGACCACGCTGAAGCCAGGAGCCAGGAGGCTTCTCTGCTCTCCCGCAGGGCGAGACGAGGGCCTGTCACTTCAGCCATCCTCTGCTGCTTACACAGGCACATTTGGGAGCCAGCCTGGACTCAAAGCAGCATCCTCACGGCATGCTGGCATTGCAGGCAAGGCCTTAGCCTAACACAGAGAGCGGTAATAAGCATTTCTTCCTGTATGTCATATCCAGTACAAACTAGAACTCTTCACAGATAAGAGGAAAAATGAAAAAAAGAAAAAAAGATTTCATTCAACTCATTTCTAATACTGAGTGAAAACACGAATGGTAAAAGGAAACCTACAGCGTAATATCACTTATGTACTTCAAGGACACAAAGCAATTATACACTTTTTCTGGCTAAATAACAGGTAAAATGAGCTTTTCAATGCCTGAAGATAGTTGATATTGACCTTAGGAGGGGAGGTGTTCCTGGGGGTCGGTGGGGGGCAGCAGGAATAAAGAGAAGGCAGAGGAATGTGGAGGGGAAGGACCAGCTGAGCTGTTTGTCTTCGAGAAAGGCAGCGGGAGAGAGATCGTGGGCGGGCGTATCCCTGTGCACGCGTGCGTCCACTGACACAGCCTTTGGTCCTCTGTGGCTCCAGGTGAGCGTCAGCAGCCAGGAGCTCTGGGAGGAGCTGCTCAGTGCCCGGGGACTGACTGGTAAGTGAGAGGGGGGCGTTTTGCAGAGCCGTTCTTTTAAAGCTGTCTTGTGTTGTGCTGACACACGGAGAGGGCCTGAGCAGGTGGTCCTGTGTGTGAGCAGTCACCTTGCTTATCCGTGCTCCTACCGTCCAGTCTCCATCATCTGCAGCTGGTCATGTTCCAAACATACCATGTGAAACTGTCCAGAAAGAGACAACTTGTGAGTCATACATGGCGGCACCCCGAGGCCCATGAGATCTCGCACTGCCTGTCCAGCATCTCACGCCGTGTCTGCTGCCTGCCTGAGGCTCGCGCACCGCCGCATCGGCCCTTCACACGGTGCTGTGCGCGCTGCCGTCCTCACTCCCTGGGGGCCCCCAGAGGTGACCTCCACAGATGAGGTCTGGCTTGAGCTCAGGAAATGGTGATTTGTAATTTAAGTCAGAGCGCTGTTTCCAAAGCTGGTGGCTGTGTAATTCCCCAGGGGTAAAGGCAGAGGCTGTGCTGGAGCAGACCTTATGATGTGTGCGCCTTCAGTGGCCTCGTGCAGGCTCAGTCCTGTTCAAAAACCCACACAGAACAATCTCGGCCCCAGGCCAGACCTTGTGTGTGGCTTGGAAAACCTTTCAAGAAAAGAAAGCATGTGAAGAAAGTGAGTTTGGGGCCCTGTGTGGTGGTTTAACAGGCTATTCCTCTGCCTGCAATTGCCAGCATTCTATATAGGCTTTGGTTTATGTCCTGGCTGCTCCACCTTCCATCCAGCTCCCTTCTTGTGGCCTGGGAAGGTGGTGGAAGACGTTCCAGGGCCCTGGAACCCTGTAACCATGTGGGAGACCCGGAAGAGGCTTCTGGCTCCTGGCTTCAGATCAGCTTAACTCCGGCCATTGTGGTCATTTTGGGAGGGAACCAGTGGAAAGAAGATCTTTCTCTGTCTCTCCTCTCTGTATGTCTGCCTTTCAAATGAAAATAAATCTTAGAACAATAGTAAAGTGGTTTTTTGCTGTATTCACGCCATTGTATTTAGAACTCACAACAGAGAGTTTGTACCATTAAAGGGCGACTGTCTCTGTGCTCAAACATCAGCTGCTGGGCTCCGAGACCCCTGCAGCTGTCACAGACCTCTGGTGGGGGCAGCAGGGCAGGAGCAGGTGCGGGCCCGTGTGGGCGGCTCAGGGCTCTGCTGCCCATATCTCGTTTGCTTCCCTGCAGTGGTGGAAGTCTATCAAGGCTGGTGCGGCCCCTGCAGGCCTGTGGTGAGCCTTTTTCAGAAGCTGAGGCTGCAGCTCGGCCCCGACCTCCTGCACTTCGTGTTGGTAAGGTCCCGTGGTGCTGCTGAACACATTTGAAGATTGAAAACAGTGAGGACCAGGCAGGGCGAGCTGATTTTTGCAGATTGTTGCAAAAGCATCGACTGTGGTGTTTGTTCAGATCCATCAGGACACTGTGCCAGGTTTGGGCAGTGGCTCCAGGTGAGGATGTGAGAGACACCAAGGGCAAGAGGCTCCCAGGCCACAAGCAGAGATGCTGAGACTTGACCGCCCAGTCCAAGGGACTACAGGGGGGACTACAGAGCTTGCTCTGGAAAAGCTGTCCCAAGCACCTGCTAACACCTTATTTTCTGTAGGCTGAGGCCGACTGTCTTGATGTCCTGGAAAAATACCGAGGAAAGTGTGAGCCCACCTTTCTGTTTTATGCAGTAAGTACCTTTCCTGAAGGCAGCTGTCAGACACACATCATTCTAGTCCAGACGCCTCTCGCCAGGGGATCTGCACGGGCCTCCCTCTGATGCCCACGGGGGAGGCTGCGGCTGGGACCCCTCCCTCTGACGCCCACGGGGGAGGCTGCGGCTGGGACCCTCCTCCTGCACTGTTTGCTCCATGAGCTGCAACAGGCCCTCCCTAAGAGGTGCTGCAGCACCCTGCCCTGGATGGGCTCTTCCCTCTGGGAACGGAACTGGGTCCCCTCTTAGCAGACACCAGGGATTCCATTCGTTGTCCTTGCCTTAGTGCTGGGCTTAGCTCATGCTCTAAGTGTGTGTTGAGTGAATAAGCTAACCACAAGCCACACTTGGCCACTCATGCATTGCTTCGCCACTAACTGGTGGCTGCCCCAAGGGAATGTTTGCAAGAAGGGTCTGGTTAGCATGAAGAGCAGAGCTGAGGGCACACTGCCATGGGTGAGACCCTGGCAGGCGGCAGCAGAGGTGCGCCCCACAGAACAGGCTGGTGGAGGCTTTGGGCCACTCCTCCCAGCTGGCTGTTTCCTGCAAGGGGTTAACGTGTGTGCTTGTGCCACATCCCAGGGAGGAGAGCTGGTGGCTGTGGTTCGGGGGGCTGATGCCCCACTGCTGCAGAAAACCATCCTGGACCAGCTGGAGGCAGAGAAGAAGGTTCTGGCTGGAGGCGCAGCCCGGAAAGTGGTAACCAGGGAGGGCACTGCATATGGCAGCCCGCTCACCTGCACTCTGCCCAGTCCCTCAGTCCCCCTCACCAGTGCCCTGCCCGGACCAGGCCGTTGCTCCAGAAGCCGTCCTGCTGCGGGGAGGCATCCCCTCCCCCAGCGTCCTGTAGCTCCTTTATCCACTTCTGTTCCAGTCCCTGTGTCAGCTTTTTTCCACACAGTTGAAGCCGAAGCAAAGCCACAGTATCTGAAGGGGTGGGGTCAGCCCTGGGCTCCCTGCGGCCTCTGGGGGAGGGTCTCATTAGGATGACAACAGGCCCATTCCTGTCATCCTTGTCATCCTGAGAAAGAGCCAGGCTCTAGGCTCTTCCAGGCAAGCAGTAGTTGCTTGCAAGTCCACACCCGCAGCTGGACGGCAGCATCTCCAGGGCCTTGCGTATCTTAACCCTGCTCACTGTACGGACACTCAGATTCAAGGCCAGTAGCCAAGCCCTCTCTCTTTACAATGGAGTATTATCAATTTTTCTTTTTCAAGAAAACTAGAAGTTCCTTCCCATATGAGAAACACCTATTAGAAACACTAACACTTCCTAGCCCTCTGTGATATCTGCGCTGTACGGCTGAGCAGTGTCTTGATTTCACCTCTGTCTTCCTGCCCCTTGCCATGTCTTCTTACTCCTTTCCCAAGGAGGTGGGATCCGAAACAGATTCTCTTCCTCCTTGCCCTCCCTCCCACTTTTTCTGGTGGACTCTGGTCTTTCCCACTTAGTTTCTGCAGGATTGCAAGGTCGTGGTGGTCACTTTGAGCCACTAACTGCACTCTTGTTCATGACCGTTTGTCCTAGATTCAAGATGAGGCTGTTTCTGATGAAGCTGGGGGTTCTCGCCGTGACAAGGACAGTGATGGAGACAAGGACGTGGGTGAGTGCAGACGCGGCCAGCAGGCCGTGAAGGCCAGGCCACCTGAGCGCTCCGGTGTGGTGGCTGCGTCAGTCAGCAGCGTGTTGACAATCTGCAAGGCTGGCAGCTGAGCGTCAGCTGTTCTGTCTGCACTTGGAGACACGCTGCAGCCCCAGCTTGGGCACGTTCCACTGACCAGGCTCAGAACCGGGTGGCTCTTTCACGGCAGTTACCACGCAGCAGGGAAAGCTCCCCTAGCACAACAGAAGGTGGTCACAGTAATGACTTAAAGCAGTGATACTGGCCTTGCCTTGTCCTTAGTGGAGCTAACAAAGCAAGTTGTTCAAGAACTCAGTATTTGGTGTATCATTCAGGTGCCTCTTGGGATGCCTGCACCTGCAGTGGAGTGCTCTGATCCAGGGTTCATTCTGGAAGGCAGACATCAGACTTCCTACAGGGAAGGAGCACCAGCAGTCTGCCTGTTGCTGGAGCCATCCATGGTGTCCCTTGCCATCATGGCCTCTCTTCCCTCTTTCATCACTTCCTGCCAAGCCAAGTCTCCTGCCTGGCAAGCAATAGGAACTCCCTCCCTTGGCCTTGGCTCCGGGAAATTGGCCCTGTGCTGGATGGCTCCTCATCCGTGGTCCATGACCCGCTCTGCTGCAGCCCGGCTGCTGCCCACTGATGTGTGCTCCCTGGTGCCATCTGACCTTTCTGGTGCCCAGGCCAGTGGTTCCAGTTCCTGGCCTGTGGCACAGTTTGACTGAAGATGATGATGTCATGTGTCCCTTCTCAAAACCCCCTGCTGCTCCTTTCTCTCTCCCTGGCTTCTCCTTTTTAAGTTGGAGCTCTGCAGTTCCCTGCTTTGGCCTTTTTTCCTCCATGAACCCACTAAGCAGTACATTAATAATGGGATTTACTGCAACCATCTCTTAAACTCTAAGTGGTAGCAGCATGTTCAAAATCATCATCCCAGGAAAATTTACAGGTTTGTTGCTTAAAATGTTTTATGATCTTGCATGCCTTGGGGGTTGTGAGTGTGTAGGTGTGAGAAAAATGCTCCTTCCATGCTCATAATGTCTTGTTTCATTGCAACACAACCAACACAGAAGGTGAGAAGCAGCAAGCAGGTGCTGGCTCCGGGGGTGGACTGGCCAGGGAGGCATGACCACTACCTTGGCTAGAAATGAGCTGGTCAGCCACACCTTGTCCTAGGACTGAGACAGCAAGGGCTGGGGCTGAAAAGTCGTGTGGACTCAGGGCCTGAGGCAGCCAGCATTGGCCACCTGGCAGGAATTAAGTGAATGGCAGCAGAGGCAGGGAAGCCAAAGAGGGGAGATGGCCCAGGCAGTCGGTTAGGCTGCGCAGTGTGGGAGTGAAGGCAGAGGAGGGCAGCTCAGTGCAGCTACCAGCTCAGCCTCGCCCATCGCCAGCTAGTTCGTGGCTGTGCTCCTCACTTCCTGTTCTTGAGCAGCCTTCAGCAAGCCCCCCTCAGGTGTTTCCCTTCGGCCCCTGTTTGCGGGACTGGTCTCTGTTCCTTGCAGCCAGCTTGAGGTTGGGGTGTGGAGCCAGACTGGGGCATGCTCCAGGTTTGCAGAGGCACAGCGAAAGGGCTGGGGAGAGCAGCCCGGTGCCCAGTGTGCTGGCACCTTGTGTAGCAGTGCACAGTCCCTGCAGATGTCCCCATGCAATCCCCCAACACCAGCACCTCGCAGCTCCATCCTTCGGCTTATTTCAGTGTCGTCAGAGAAGAACTGCACCTTGGCCATCATTAAGCCAGACGCGGTGGTCCATGGCAAGGCAGAGGAGATCGTGATAAAGGTAAGAGGGCACCCACGCCATCGTCCTCGCATCCTGTCTGGGGCACAGACGGGGATCAGACATCCTCCTGATGAAAGAAGGCTGCTGAGAAGCCAGCACTCGAGTTCCGTTCCACTGAGTGATACACATTGGATCTGCTGCAGACGGGAGCTGTGGGGAGCAGCACCCCATGGCACCGTGTTTAGCTGTTACATGTTAGCCACCGATGGGACCTGGGCTTCATGTTCTCTTTCAGAGTATTATATACACGACTATGTCCTATAGATCCAGGAAGCCGGCTTTGACATCCTAACGAGCGAGGAGAGGACCCTGACAGAGGCAGAGATGAGGCTCTTCTATCAGCACCGAGCTGGAGAGGTCAGCCCCTCGCCGCCATGCGTCCTGCTCACTCCCTTCTCTTCCCCTGCCTCTGGCGCAGGCTCACCCAATGCTGGGAGGCTGGGGAGCAGCAAGAGCGTGAGCAGTGGGTCAGGAGTCTGCCCACACCGAGGACAGCTGCGGGCTTCTGTGGTCACGAGGAAATGGTACTGTCTCTAAGCAGTGAGGAGGGCGTTTGTGCATGGGCTCTGGGCACTGCCGAGCTGAGGGAACAGGCCTGCAGGAAGAGCGTCCCAACAGGACGAGGAACCCAGGGAGGCCTGGAGTGTCAGGAGCCAGGCAGCAGATAACAGCAGCCGGAGCCATGCTGCTGGCTAGCGCAAAGCATGCTCCGGCTGCTAGCATCTCACCTGCGGGGGTGGCCGCCACCGCTGCGTCATGGCCTCGGATCTCAGGTTAGGGACCTGTGTGTTGGAGGAAATATGTGTTGGTGTTTTCACACCAGGAACATGGGGGAAGGGCAGCGCGCTGTTTCGTGGAGGAGAAAGGTTGCAAGGTGTCACCAAAGAGAAAGCAAACCAACCAATACTTCCACTGTATTCCAGCCCTTAGTTAAACCATCCAGCAACCACACATCCCAGTGTCCACACACACGCTCTTTAAGGACTCATTTGATTTACTTAAGGAGAGGGTGGGTGAGGAGAGTGAGGAAGGGGGAGAAAGGAAGATTTGCCCATGGATTCGCTTACCAAATGTCTTGAACAGCTTGCTCTGGGGACAGGAACCAGGAGGGGACTGCAGGTCTCCCACGTGAGACACAGACCCACACACTTGAGGCATCACTGCTCTCCCTTGGGGTTCACATTAGCAGGAAGTCAGTTAGGAACTGGAGCTGGGAGTTGAAAGTATGGGACACAGATGTCTGCACTACGATGCTGAAAGCTCACTCCTCATGGATATTTATGGCCTTTGAAATGCCTCTACCTCTTAGAATTTTCTCATCTTTAGTCCCAAGTTGCCTCAAATTGCAGCCTTGCCTATTTGGATTCTGTGGGTGTGGTTGGTCACCAGCACACCTTCCTGACCCACGGCCCAGCTGGCAGAGGTGGCCAGGTGTGCTGCCCAGGGACACCAGAGGCCCCCTCCCTGGGTGACGGTCTCCCCTCTCTTGCCCAGGAGGCATTTGAGAAGCTGGTTTACCACATGTGTAGCGGACCGAGTCATCTGCTGATCCTCGCCGGGCCTGAGGGCAAGGAGGACGTGGTCACCGCCTGGAGAAACTTCATGGGGCCCAGTGACCCCCAGGTGGCCAGGAGGGAGCAGCCTGAAAGGTGACATCAGCAGCTGGAGACCTGACACCCATCTCCTGAATCCAGAAAACTCGGAATGCCCCAGGGTGCTCAGCCCAGAATTGCGGGTAACCAAGAAGAGGGATGGCCAAGTGGCCCCTCACTCCCCGAGGGACACAGCTCCCAGGGGCAGTGCCCAGCCTTGGCCAGGCACCTCCAGGGAGCTGCCTCTGCTGCCCTGTGCAGAGGGCGGCTGCTGCGTTTACCCTAGCTTCGTCAGGGAATCCCCAAGGCGCTCCTAGAAGATAGAAACGCACATGGGCAAGTCTGCTCGGCCTGTTCTGTGCTAGGCTGGGTGGCTGGCTCCTCGGCTGTTAGTATTTGACACACGCCAAATGCCAAACCCATTGAAGACCCACAGGAAGCAAACTGGCACAAAAGGCCATGGCACTGCAGTTGTACCCTGGTGGTTGTTTGGGGCCAGGGGCCTTCGTGAGGGAGGCAGCCCGCTCAGGGCTCAGCTTGCAGGCCACATTCTCTGCAAGTCCCTTCTCAGCCTCAGTTCTCAGTAAAATGGGCATGTGTCTGTTTATACACACATTCGAGTGTACGCACACACCAGCACATACACGTGCGTACTTGAAAAGGCTCATGGAAAACATGTAACATCCAAAAAATCCATGCATGGACTTAAATTTTTTTTTCACCCTAATAAACTTATCCACAAATTCCACTTCCTCCAAAAAATGCCTGAAGTTATATACATATACATACATATATATATGTACACACACGCACAGAGAGAGAGAGGGAGAGAGAGAGGGAGAGCAAGCACGTTTGTAGTGCTTAGAACGACACTTGATACACAGCCAACTCATGAGGCTGTATTAACAATGTTACTGTTGTACCGTTGACAGCAAAGATGACAAAATTGCATTTCCTGTTTGCCCAATTGTTGATACAGCTTTAAAATGGGGACAACAGTCTCCCTCACAGGGCAGTGACCCAAATGCAATGGGAGCACGTTGGAAAAGCACTGGGCTGCGCACACAGGCTGCTGCAGCGGCTGAGAACACACCAGCCCGCCCGCCCGCCCGCCCTCCCTCCTGCCCTGCCTGCCCACCTGCCCTCCCTCCCTGCCTGCCCACCCACCTGCCTGCCTGCCCACCCACCTGCCTGCCTGCCTGCCTTCCCTCCCTGCCTGCCCACCCACCTGCCTGCCTGGCGCGGGCAGTGGCACTGCTGGCCTTTCCCTGGTGTTTCCCACAAAAGAGAAAGCAACTGCTCGGGACTGCAGAGTGCTGATTGGTGGTCAGTGGTCATGTTGCCAGAAAGCAAGACATTTTTTTTTACAAATGAAACAATTGCTGCTTTTCATGTCGCCAATCCTTGCAGTCTCCGGGCCCAGTACGGCACAGAAACGCCCTTTAACGCCGTGCACGGGAGCCGGGACAGGGAGGAAGCTGACCGGGAGCTGGCCCTGCTCTTCCCCGGCCTTCACCTTCCAGACAGCGATGCCCCTCAGGGTAAGTCTCTCCTCTGGGTTCTTATTAAAAAGGCGTTTGTTTGTGTGCTCAGAAGTGGGGAAAGGGGAGGAGCCTTGGTGATCATTACCTGGCAATTAAATCCTCCAAGGCAGGAAGCCCCTTTCCTCAGGTCCCGGGGCTGCTGCTGCCTCTGTCCCGCCCCACTTTCACCTCAAAGGTCCTTCTTGCCACTTCCCTGGGGAAGCCCCATTGTCCAGAGGCTGCTTCAGGGCAAGTCCCCCGCCAGGCCCCTTGTGTCCCTGTGCCCACCTCTGACCTTCCTGGGGCAGCGCCCACAGCCCCTGGATCTGGGTAAGAAGCCCAGAGGATCCCGGCCTCAAAGGACCCAGGCCATCCCCTGACCAGCAGGCTGAGGCAAAGCCCAGAGCTGGACATGCCGGAGCAGCCCAAGCACAGCCCTGCGTGGGGTCTACACGCCTGCCTCAGCGCTGTGTGTGCTGTGGTCTCCAGGTGTGGCTGGGGAAAGGCGAAGGTAGACAGCAGCTGAGCTGTGCTGGCCTGCTGCAGCCCTGCTGCTGATGTGTGGTCTGTTCCCGCTGTCAGCTGAGGAACCAGCTGAGCTGAGCTGGCAGAGTTAGGAACTCCTGAGAAGTAGGGCTGGCAAAGCAGTCAGAGTCGGCACCCCCAGGTACCTGTGTTACGCTGCTGCCAGGCCTCACGTTGTGGCCCAGCAGCCCTGCCAGGGGCGGCTTTCCTCCTTGCCACCTGCCCTGACAGCACGGGTTCCAGTCCCAATGTTTTCAGGATCATAGGAGTCTTCATCCTTTTCAAGGGTGCTGCGCCCTGACTGCCAGCAGCCCCTCTGGGTGCTGACGCTCTGTTCCTGACACCTGCTTCGTGCTGGGCAGTGGCACGGATGTCCACCTAAGCAGGGCACAGTGGTCCATGGCTCTAGCAACTCACAGTCCTGGGTTTGATTCCTGACTCTGGCCTCTCCACCTGCTGAATAACCCCGTAACTTTTTTTTCCCCCGGGCCTCAGTTCATCTGTGAAATCACAGATGCAAGGTAACCTCATGCTGCTTCCTCAGCGCTCTCCACCTGCTGTCTGCCACACTTCAATCACCGAGAACAACATTCCTCCTCCCCAACCCCTACCTTCCCGAGCTCCCTTCCCCCGTCTCGCTCTGGGCCGGAAGTCCTGCAGAACCTGCTGTCCCACACGTGGTGAGGCCGGAGGAGCGGCAGGCACCCCCACGGCTTCACTTCCCTGAGGACGAGGCCTGAGCCGGCTCTGCTGCTCCTTGGAGGGGTGGGGGCACAGGTCGGGTGGGCCGCCAGAGCAGGGCTGAGGTCACTGTGCTGGGGCCTGCTGCACTTAAGGCACCCTCAGACCCACCACACTGTTGGGCACCTCCTGCTGCCCCGCTCCCTTGGGGGACGATGAAAGCCAGGCGTGTGCAACTGCCTGCAGTATTAAAGAGTACACGCGGGACACACAGATTCATGCTCTGTCTCTGGGATTTTACAAAGTAGCATGCTGTGGCCTTCTGCTGCGGCCTGGTGGCAGCCGAGGGGACAGGCATCATGTTGCAGCTGACCCTGGTAACCGGGAATGTGCACCAGTGCAGCTTGGTTGTGACCAACACCTCCAGGCCCTCTGGTGAGGAGGCCAAGGGGGTGGGCACGCAGCGCCTCCCTGCACTGCCTGCCCTGCTCTGCTGCCCTGCCCCACTTCCTGCTGCCATCTCTGCCCGTCGAAGCAGGGTATCAAGCCAGGGCAGGCTCACAAGCAATGCTTGGGTTACATCTGGAACCAGAATTCACCTGGTTTCACTGACCCTGCTCTCCTGCCTTTGGGTAGTGTCCAGTTTTGGAAGTGGAGAACTGGGGCCAGGAGGCTTGCAGCTTTCACTGAGTGGCCTGGCTTGGCAGCCCATGCTTCTTCCCTGGAGGGATACAAGGAGAAAGTGACGGCTCCAGCTCCCTCGGAGGCACGTCAGGCTCCCGGGCCCAGGAATACTGTCCTCTGATGAAGCAGGAAGAAGCCTTGCTCCTTACCTCTGTACTGAGCCCATGCTGGCAGCATGTGTCAGCAGAGCACCCTCACTGCTCCTTGGCCCCGGGTGCCCAGCTCACCTGTAGGCAGTGTCATTCCCTTTCCGAGTGGGTCTCATTTGGTCTGCCGAGTGATGGGCAGGAACCCCAGGCCCTCTGGAGTTGCCCTGCAGGCATGGAGTGTGGCTCTCAGTGAGCTACTTGGAGAAATGGGTGCGCCTAGCTTGCAGCTAGCTCATCTCTCCAGAGGCCAGAAAGGCAAGGATCCTCCTCCTGCCCCAGTCCCTGCAAGGTAAGAGCTGCAGTCAGGGCTCCAGAACGCACAGAGGAGGTTGGGGGAGAAGGGAGCCTGTGGCGGGCTGGGTGGGTGAGGCATGCAGGGCAGGGGGAAGCCGGAGCAGCACTCGGTGACAGAGTAGGAGGGGTAACAACAGCTGCCTCCTTTAGCACAGTGGGGTATCCAGAAGGCCCAGGGCAGAAGCACTGAGGAAAGGGGAGGGCTCCAGAGAGAGGTTCAAAGGTCGGTCCCTCCCAAAGGCTAGGCTAGCTTGGCAGAGCCCCTGCACCTGGCTTTCTACAGAGAAGCCAGCCAAGGCTGCAGGGACTGCCTGGCAGGAACAGGACAGGCTCAGCTCCAGGAAGCTGATGCAGGCAGCTCCACCATAATGCCAGTTTTGGCTGTCCACTGTGAGATGGCTGACCACGTGGTAAAGCCAAACCTAGGCGCTGGGAGCTGCAGCAATGATGCACAGAAGTGGCTCAGCAGCCCTCCACAGTCACTGGGAGTCCCCCACCTGAAGCCAGGCCCTGGGCCGGATGTGCCTCCTCCTGCCAGTGGGTGCGCCTCCGCACAGCACCCTGCTGGTCTCCACCAGCACATGGTGCAGCAAGGCTCTTTCCTCTCCATTCTCTTCGCTTCACCTTGGGTCAACTCACCATCGCCCCGCTCCCCTGCCTCCCCACCTGTGCCTGGTTTCTGTCTGCAGCCCTCAGGGAGGGAGCCGAGAGCCCCTGGGTGTCCTCAGAGGGCACAGCAGTTGCTTGTGTACCACTCGGGTCTGTGTTGGCAGCAGAGGTGTGGCACACCTCAGGGGAGAGAGGATGCAAGTGGACATGGTGACTGGGAGTGGCCACATGTAACGGGCCTCTGGGCTCCCAGCAGCCAGCAGGACAGCGTCCCCACACTGCTGCGGATGGCTGAGTCATGATCGCCAAGCTGTGCACACTGGGAAATGCGCGCCCACCTCCCTGCACTGCAGGTTCCAAAAGCCGGGACACATTATCGTCCAATGTTTCCTAATGTTCTAGACATCTGGAAAACAGACTCCTTTTTAGAAGTTGCCAGGATTTTTCTTGGCTTTTATTAACATGTGTTAAAATCAAATTATCCAAACACTACCAGAAGAACATGTATTGTTCTGAATAAAGTGCTTAAGGAAAAAAAATGCAACTTGTTAAACTGGACATTCTTTTCTAGTTTATAAGATTCTGGGTTACAATCAGGGCACAAAGGAGAAACAACCAGCAGCAGACAGCAGGAAGTCAGTTAAGCTTGGGTGCAGACACAGGCTGCGGCCCACTCCGCCCACCTGCTGACTGGCCACTGCCCCTGCAGAAAGCAGCAAATAGCTTTGTTTTCATAAATACATTTCTCTTCAATCAAATCAGTTCATTCTAGTGACGACTGTTCACACCCACTGAGCTGAAGTGTGAAGTGTGATCTCACTGGGCCTTCTAGTGCTGTGTGAGTTCAGGATTGTCTCAGCGATTCGTTACTGGTTTTTACTGACCAGTGTATTTCGATGCCAACACTATCTATGGTGTTCTGGGTTACAAGTGCCAACGAGGATATCTTCTCAGGAATAGAAACAACAATAAGTGGACCTAACTGAACAACACTTTATTCCAAATAAACTTTTTCTTTAAACTGGTCTTCCCATATTAGCATCCTCACATGTGCACAAAGTCCCTGCTGTGACAGATTTTTAAAATCAGTGATGTTCTGAAAAAATAACTTGGAAAACTCTGGGTTTGAATCTTGAGTTATCATATTGGAAAACAGGAACTGCAGTTAAATACATTTAAAAACGTTCATTCACAATCCAACACTGAAATCTTGTGAGGAAGTTGTGGCTGGTGGCAGGCCAGCCACGCTGCCAGCAGCCCCGTCAGGAGGGGCCCTGTCCGCGCACACTCACCCCAGAGCTCGCATCCTGGCCGAGGAGCCTCCGGCCTTCGTCAGCAAAGGGAAGAGGCGGGCTGCTCCTACCGTCACGCAGTCAGGAACCTTGGGCGAGTTCGTCCTGGAGCTGGAGCAGGTGCCACGCTAAGGGTTGAGCGAGGGCTGGGCAGTGCTCGCTGTGAGGAGTCCTCCGCGGTCAGCCTGGGCCCGATCTGTTCCTTCTCTCAGCCCGAGGGTTCCGCTCCAGCGGGAAGGACCTCGGCCACACTTTACAGGAGCACACCGACCTGCAGTCCTGAGGGCCTAGAGTCAGCTGAATGTAGCCAAGAGTTCTACACCGAGCTGTCCTTCACTTCTCTCCACAGGAGTGTCTGTAGACGTTTTTTGGTTTCACAGTGGTATGTGCCGTTTCAGGAAGCACAGTGATCTGACCAGGTTCCTAGGAGGGACGCCCTGCTTCTAGTCTGAGCACAGGGCTCCAGGCCTGGCTGAGGGCAGCGGGAGGCTCCGGGTGCCCAGGTCCTGCAGTGTCTGCAGTCAGTAGTTGTACTTCCCTCTCTCGTCTCAGTGAGGAGCTCTCACATTCCTGCACTCTGCCCTTCTCACTCACGGAGTTGGGCTGAACAAAGGCTCTGCACCTGCTAACGCTGACGGCAGTAAGATGCTAGCTTACAATGCTGCACAGCACCATGTATAACGCCTGTTATCCAGGCCAACGAGAGCCAACTTTTTTTTTGTTTTTGTTTTTATAAAGAAAATCTATGTAAGCTGAGGTTCAGAAATGCATATATATATATTTTTTTACTTACAAATATTCATCTGACCAAAATTCAACATAACTTTTATGGAACACTAAACAATTGTTTTGTCTTTAAAATAACATTTCATTCAAACTGTATATAATTCAGTAAAGTTTTTTACACAGCAAGCAATGCTTAAACCCTGGGAAGTCTGTAGAAAAGATCTTCACACAAAATAAGAAAAGAAAAATCTGAGGTATCCCTCACGCACATCCATTCACACACACACTCACACGCTCAGCCCTGCATGTCCCCCACTCATTCTCTCACAAAGTGGCTGCAGCATAGGCAAAAAATTGTAGGTCCAAAGAAAAACGATTGATTGTTCTAATAAAGAGTCCAGGTAGCTCAGAAAAAAACAAAACAAAACACAACAGAACACAACAGTCCTCTGAGGAAATTACTACCTCAAAAAATGTTCTCAAGATGAATCTGAGATCTAAGCCTATGAAATTGCTTTTGAAAAACAGCTCCCTGCAGTCCAAGGTGACGTGTGCAAATAGAAGGAATCAACTGAGGCTAGTTCCTGTATTTCCCTTACACAAGGGCGCGGGTGCTCGCAGGTGCCCAGGGTGTGCCCGTCATGCCAGGTACTGCTGCAGTGCCATCTTTGCCCTGGAATTACAAAGTTCCCGTTAGTCGGCATTTCAGAATTGTTGACAGCCAGGACTGGGGGACCAGTGTGGTCACTGAGGTCCACAAGGCAGATGCTCGAAGAACTGGGGGATCCCCTGAGGGACCAAGCTCCCGGCAGAGGAGCTTCAGCCCATGCTGCCTCTGCACCTGGAGTTCTCTTTTTTTTCCCTCCTCATTTTATTTGAAATGCAGAGAGAGACCGACCTCTGGTCACACCAGCTAGGGTTAGTCCAGGGTGAGATGAGGGCCCAGGGTCGCCTAAGTGGGTGCAGGGGCCCGAGCACCTGCACCACCCTCCCTGCCTTCCCAGGCACATGAGGAGCTGAGCAGGCCGAGGAGAAGCTCGACATGGGATACTGGCACAGCAGGCAGCAGCTTAGCTCCCGGAGCCACGTGTCAGTTCCCAGAGGGGCTGTGTTTGCGCCGCAGTCTGTGGCAGCTCACTGACGTGGCACTTTCCTTTGTAGGTGGTCATGTCTAGTTTTCCTTTGTCACTGGCACGCACTTGTGAGCAATCTGGAAATTTGGACTTTCTCTAACTGCCACGGAGGCTGTATGTACACATGAGCACATCACGAAGCAGGATTCAGGCTCTGGGAAGGCAGGACGGCGACTACGGAAAGGCAGTAAGGTACTGACGAGGAGGTGCAAGAACCCGTGGGGTTCCTGCCGCATGGACCACACCTTGGAGCTGTGCACGAAAGCTTGTATTTCCTCTCAGTTCTCACTGCACCTGACAGTAACAGCAGTGACCAACTGGGATGCATACTGTTAAGGTGACTGGGGAAGGAGGATGGTGTAATGAGGAGAGCGACTTAATCTCGCCTGATCTTTGGAAAGTGGCCTCCTTTTCTAAAAATAAAATTAATTTGGGAGGCAGAAAGATGGCTCTTGTCCACTGCTTCACTCTCCAAATGCCTGTAGTGACTGGGGAAACTGGAAGCCAGACCCTCATCTGTGCAGCAGGATCCAATCATCTGAACCATCGCCACTGCCTCAAGGGTCTAGACTGGCAGGAGGCTGCAGCCAGGAACTGCAGGTTAGCAACGAACCGATGTGTCCCACAGGAAGCGCAGGCATTTCTGCAGCCAGGCCAAATGCCTGCCCCAAAGCGACTTCCTTTGGGCAAGGCCTGAGGAGGCCACCTTCTTTAAAGACTTACTTATTTACTTGAAAGGTAGAGTTACAGCGAAAGAGATCTTCTATCTGCTGGTTCATCCCTCCGATGGCTGGGCCAGGCCAAAGCCAGGAATGGCTTCCCAGGTCTCCCAGGTGGTGGCGAGGGCCCAAATGCTTGGCAAATCTTCTGTTGTTTCTTGGGCCCACTAGTAGGGAACTGAGTAGGGAAGTGGAGTATCTGGGACATGAACTGGCACCCATGTTGGATCCTGGTGATGCTATTCCTCTTTGCCACAGTACCGGCCCGAGAGAAGGTCTGCACGACTCCCATCACAGCTTTCTGAAAAGCTCAGTTGTGGGAGTTAGAAACTCAGGGCTTATTGACGGGCTCTCCTTCCAAGTTAGAGAGAGGCTAAACTTCTTAGTTGTTACTAGCTGATGAAAGTTATAGCAAGGAAACTGGGCACGTGACAAGTTGGATTCCAGTGCAATCTACACAATCTATAATTACAGTGTTGAGAAGATGTATCAAGGTGCATTCTTACAGTTACAGAAAACTCCATAAAGTCTAATCCATCAAAAAGAAAGTTCTAGTCTGGATGTTCCAAACTGGGTTCCTGAGGGTATTCTGACACACAGGCTCCGGACGGCATCGTCCGTCTCACCCCGTCAGTCTACAGAGAGGCTGAGCCGAGCAGTGCTGACAGGGAGGGCGGTGTGTGGGGGGGTCCCGTCCCTGAACACCTGAAGCCCCCGGGCCCAGCAATGTCTCTTCTCCACTGAAGGGGCAATTAGAAATGGCCCCTCGTGAATGACAATCCCAGGTCTGTGGAGTCCAGAGACAGCACGGGCCTCTGCCACCCTGAAGCTTAGCATCTGAGGCTTGTGGAAGACGAGTCTCCAAAACACTGCTCTGGGCTGCTGATCTGTCAGTGGCTCTGCGCCAGAAAGATATGGCTGACAAATCAGTTATGCCAGCAGCTATGGGGCTGGAAACAGAAGTTCGAGTCCTCAAGGTACAAGCTCAAATCCAGCCTTCGGCCCATGGCTGCCCTTGATCTATGCTCCTCTCATCTGACCAGCAGCCCAGGGCAATGGAGACACTGCTGCCAGCCCACAGTGCCAGTGTGTCATGGATGCTGAGCACAGAAGGCACGGGTAGGAGAGGGGGTAAGGCGGCCTTTCACAGGAAGCAATGGCTGATAGGGATTTTGAAGGCTAACCAGCCACTGAGCAGGTACCTCGCTCCCCTGCTCACGGCCTTCGCATACCCGGGCCTTCCCCTCTATCCTGCTCACCGCCCTGGCCCTTTGCTGTCTGTATTAGCTGTCCCTGAACACTGAAGGCCCAGGGGGCTTCACCTAGTCCCACGGCTCTGACCACCATCTACATCTCTACCCCCTTCGTTGTTCCCCAGTCCCATGGTCCTCTGGCTGTTGCTTTAATCTGCCTGGGAGCCTCAGGACTCCCTGTTCCTGGGCCTCGAACACTCATCCTCGCAACACCAGCCGCCTCACTCCCTCTGGTCCTGATCAGACGTCACCTGCTCACAGAGGTGTTACTGACTACATGGAAAGTTACTCAGCTCTCCATCCTCACTTGCTTTTTCTTTACAGTGCCTCTTACTATGTTACATGCTCATTCGGCTATTGGCTATCTCTTGAGCTAGAGTGTTAAGTTCAAGGACTTCATTAATCTTATTCCTCATTATATCTCCAATGACTAACACGGGCCTGGTAGAAGGTAGGTCTGTCAAAAACCATCACTGAATGAATGTCTGTGAAAAGGACAGAGAACAGGGATGGCAATTCAGATGGAACAGAATATGTAAATACAGAAAAGCGTAAGGCTGTAAGTGAGCGGGTACGGTTGCAGTGCAGGCGAGGAGGGGTGTGTGTGTGTGTGTGTGTGTGTACACCAAGACGAGCAGGTCAGACGTGCAGACAGGAGCAGGGCACAGCGGGGAAGAGCTCCGCTCCTCCGAGGTCAGGGCATCTCTGAAACGGGGGCTCTCAGAGTACCTGCCACCTTATCACGGCTGGCACGTGGCAGGTGCGAGTGACAGTGAGGTGCTGAACTAAAGAAGGTTTCCCAATTGTTCCTTCAGTTTTCCAGAAGGCCAATTACCTAGGGGACGTAAGGGAGGAGTTTTCTGGTTCTAGCTAGATGTCCACTAGGGCAGCCCAGACTTAGGTTACTTCAGAGTGAAACAAGGCTCTAATAATTTCATAATTATCATGTTTTACTCCGATGTTATCAGTTGGCTTGCAAGAAATTAAAAAGAAAAATCTGAAACTCTAAATGTGAATCTAGGGCCCGGAGCAATAGCCTAGCAGCTAAGGTCCTTGTCTTGTGTGCACCCAGCATCCCCTATGGCACTGGTTCTAATCCCGGTGGCCCCGCTTCCCATCCAGCTCCCTGCCTGTGGCCTGGGAAAGCAGTCAAGGACGGCCCAAAGCCTTGGGACCCTACATCCACGTGGGAGACCTAGAAGAGGCTCCAGGCTCCTGGCTTTGGATCAGCACAGCTCCGGCTGTTGCAGCTGCTTGGGGAGTGAATCACCAGACAGAGGATCTTCTTCTCTGTCTCTCCTTCTCTCTGTAAATCTGACTTTACAATAAAAATAAAATAAATCTTTAAAACAATCTGAATCTAAATTTAGAAAGTTCGCTTTTTGGATTACTAATATTCAAACCTTTTACTAAAAGAATCCGACAGCAGCCACAGCAAGGCCTGTTTATGCTGATACTTACTTGTCACAAAGGTTTGAGTCTGGTGACTGACTCAGTTTGTGTAGAATATCTACAATGCCCATGTCTCGTAATTTATCTTGGCGTTCCTGTGAACCTAAAAGATAAAAGCCCAGCTGGTCACTGGGAATGTGAGCCGATGCGCAGTCTCCCAGCTACAGCCTGCCACCGTCCTCCACGGCTCAGCCGACTGTCCCTCCTGGCGCCTCTCCCCCAGTGCAGCTGAGGTTCGCTGACTGCCCTCGCTGCCCTCTGACTGCCCTCACTGCCTCCTGACTGCCCTCGCTGCCCTCCGACTGCCCTCGCTGCCTCCTGACTGCCCTCGCTGTCCTCCAACTGCCCTCGCTGCCCTCCTGACTGCCCTCGCTGCCCTCCTGACTGCCCTCACTGCCACCTGACTGCCCTCGCTGTCCTCCGACTGCCCTCGCTGTCCTCCGACTGCCCTCGCTGCCCTCTGACTGCCCTCACTGCCTCCTGACTGCCCTTGCTGCCCTCCGACTGCCCTCGCTGCCTCCTGACTGCCTTCGCTGCCCTCCTGACTGCCCTCGCTGCCCTCCTGACTGCCCTCGCTGCCCTCCTGACTGCCCTCACTGCCACCTGACTGCCCTCGCTGTCCTCCGACTGCCCTCGCTGTCCTCCGACTGCCCTCACTGCCTTCTGACTGCCCTCGCTGCCCTCCGACTGCCCTCACTGCCTTCTGACTGCCCTCGCTGCCCTCCGACTGCCCTCACTGCCCTCCGACTGCATCAGGGCTCTCCAATGGACTAAATCCTCCACAGATGATAGGGTCAAGGTCGCATTCTTTAGCCTGACACAAAGACCTTGTCCCTGGATGCAGATCTGTCCCATTTTCAGAACATGCCTACGGCCCTGGCCAGTCCAGTCCTTTCCCTGACCTCCCATACTTGTTAGTGCCTCCTGGCCGGCACAACTGCCAGTCGCAATTTTACAGGGCTCTGTCTTTCTACTGAATCGAGACTTGTTCAGGGTAGTGCCGTCCCCTGCCCGACAGAAGCAGGCAGCCAGGCTGTGGAGCTGAATCAGTCTCACCTTTGCTTTGCTCAGCACCCAGCTTCTAAGCACAGCAATCCTCCTGGAATCTCCCTCCACCGAAGGGCTTGGCTCATGCACTGAAACCTCTAAGCTCAGTGAAGACTCGAAGGATGGAGGCCACTGATCTGCAGTTAGAAAAGCTCCTCATGGCATTCTAACGCAGCCAATCAGCACTGACACCTAGTCCTCGCCTGAAGCTGCCGGCCACCTTGGCTGCACTTTGCCATCACCCGAGGGGCCTGTGGAACAGGCTTTGAGCCCATCCAGGCGGATTTTGCTGGCTCAGTGTCAGATCCCCACGGTGGAGAACCTCTGAGGGACCCTCCTGCGGCTGCCACTGATGGACTCCTGTTCCAAGGCCAACGCCCCTCTTTTCCATGTGCCTCTCTGTCTGGAGTCTTTACATATGCCACCTGCCCACCTGCCCGACCTACTCAAGTGCATCTCACCATCCTCCTTATCAGTTCTTTCAAGGGCTGGCACTGCCACTTCCTTCTCACACTGAGTGCCAAGTAATCTGGCATGTGTTGGTTTCCCGGAAAGAGGTGAGTGCTGACTGTCCAGGCAGCTCAGGCCGGTCCCACTAAGGCTCTTAGCAAGGCAGCTGTGTGGGGCACTTGGGGTCAGCAGTCCGACGAGTGGGCGCCTCTGCCTAGGACTCAAGGGCCACTTACTGCCTTCCCTGTGTGGGACTCTCGTCCCAGAATTTTCTTCACAACAAATCTCACCAATCTCACCTTCCTCTTCATTCCAAATGAGGTTTGATATACAAAACATGGCAGCAAGCTGTAGTTTGACATGTGAGTGACCCTAATGACGCAGAAAAGAAAGAAAAATCAAAATGGAGGTGATCCTATTTTTAGATCCAACAGCCTGAAAGTCTGAAAGTTAACATTAATGATGCAAGGCTTAGCTAAGACAACAGGAAGTGCCGGAAAATCGGGTAAATTGCGGAGTGCAAGTCTTGCCGAAAGACATTCAAACAAGAATTTCAAACCCATCTGACAAACCCAACAAAACTCCAGGACCATGAATACAGCACGGTCTCCAATTTATGACTGAGCCCTGCACACAGAGCTGCTGGCACATGGCAATTCTACGTTTCTGACTTAAGCTTTTACTTTCTAGAGGCCAATAAATTGGGTGGATATGCATCTGGTATTTTTCACTTCAGCTACTAATTTTCCTATTCAAATGGTGCAATAATTCCTTTAGAGAAGATAGAATCAAGGAATTCTACAACAATTGGATATTCACATACAAACAACTTTTTAAAACAGATTATTACTATTATAATTTTAATCAGAAAGACAGGTATCCAGAGAGAGGCAGAAAGGGGGATCTTCCATCTGCTGATTCACTCCCCAAGTAGCTGCAATGTGTGGAGCTGAGCTAATCTGAAGCCAGGAGATTCTTCGGGGTCTCCCACGCAGGTGCAAGGTCCCAAGGCTCTGTGCCATCCTCGACTACTTTCCCAGGCCACAAGCAGGGAGCTGGATGGGAAGCAAAGCACATGGGACACGAACCAGTGACCATATGGGATCCTGGTGCATGCAGGGCGAGGACTTTAGCCGCTAGGCCACCATGCCAGGCCCACAACCAACTTTTAAAATGATTTACTACTGATACAAATTCACCCTCAGAAATAAATTGCTTTTATTTCTACAGGAGTGAGTGAGTGTGTGTGTGTGTGTGTGTGTGTGTATATGTGTGCGCGTGTGTGTGTGTGTTTATATGCCCTGGATCAAATCTCCATTTGATTTTATAAAATGCCTCTACCACAGCTGAGGAACTTTCTAAAAAAACGTTTTGTTTTTTGAAAGAGTTACAGAGAGGGAGAGGGAAATTTTCGGTCTGTTAGTTCATTCTTTAGCTTGCCACCATGGCCAACGCTGGGCCAGGTCGTCTTCCACTGCTTTTACAGGCCATTAGCAATTAGCAGAGAGCAGGATCAGAAGTGGATTGTGGGCTCTGTAGAGTAGCCTAGTGGCTGCATCTTCACCTTGCATGCATTGGGATCCCATGTAGGCACCGGTTCACGTCGTGACTGCTCTACTTCTCATCCAGCTCCCTTCCCTGCTTGTGGCGTGGAAGGCGGTGGAGGATGGCCCAGGGCCTTGGGACCCTGCGCCCACATAGGAGACCTGGAAGAGGCTTCTGACTCCTGGCTTTGGATCGGCTCAGCTCCAGCCATTGCGTCCACTTGCGGAGTGAACCGGCAGTTGGGAGCTCCTTCTCTGTCTCTCCTCTCTGTAGGTCTGACTTGCCAATAAAAATAAAATGAATGCTTTAAAAAAAAAAAAAGCAGAGCCGTCACAACAGGACCAGCCTCTATATGGAATGAGGAGCTGCAGGGAGCAGCTTTTGACTGCGTGGTAACTGGACCTCAGGAATCTCCTTTTAAAAAACAACTGTTGTGGCTTTTTCTTTAGGTGCTGAAAGCACAACCACTTCTGCTCACTCTGGAGAGCTGATCCGTACAGTGTCTTCTCCTGAACGCCAGAAAACCTACTAGTAATAGAATCTTTATCAGCCAATCAAAAAGTATTCCCAGCACATTCAAATCGTTCACGCATAATGGCATGACAAGTTTAAAGGTTTCCCTCCAACGTATAAAAATGCAAATTTGAATGCTGAAACAGACTTATCTTTTCATGTAGGGCCATACCTGAACCAAACAGAAACAGAGATGGCCACAGCCTCTTCCATCAGAATCCTATGGTGTCACTCTTCCTCCTACCTTCAGCATTTTTAAGCAAATTCCCAAGGAGCCAGCATTATTGTTAAGGGGTAAAGCCATCACCTGCAATGTTAGCATCGCATCTGGGGGCCAGTTTACGTCCAAGCTGCTCTACTTCTGATCCAGCTCCCTGCTAATGACCTGGGAAAGCTGCAGAGGATGGACCAAATACTTGAAACCTTACACTCTCGGGGGAGACCCAGAAGAAGCTCCTGACTCCTGCCTTTGGCCTGGATCCATCCTGGGCGTTGTGGCCATCTGGGGAATGAACCAGGAGATGGCAGACTGTCTCTCCCTTTAGAACGCTGACTTTCACGGCCTCAGGTCATCAGGTAGTATCTGTAGACACTACAACAAATAAGCCTTTATCGTGCATATGCAGATGCGTCCAGTACCTTTAAAAAGTTATTTCTGGAAAGCAGAGCAATTGAGGGGGAGAGTGAAGTAGACAGCAGGAGGGGGAGCGGTCTTCATGTGCTGTTTCACCCCCAGAAGGCTACAATGCTCACGAGAGTGGCACAGCCCCACGCACTTGGCTTACCTTTTCTGTGGTGTGCTAGCAGGGAACTGGATTGGAAACAAGCAACCAGGACTGTTCTGAAACACCATTCCAATGTGGAATGCTGGTGTCACAAACACTGGTTTCATTTTCTATGTCACAACACTGAGCCCTATTAAATATATACATACTTTTTTTTTTTGATGAGCAGGACAAACTGCTATGATAGAAAAAACTGGAGGGCAGATGAGTTGCTATTTAGTTCTAGGAAAATGTCTGATGGAAGCAACATTTAAACAGACTTAAAGAATACAAAGTGCTCAGTGTGCAAGTGCAAAGAGCAAGGGGTCATGAGTTCCAAAAAGGAAAAAATCCTGGAAAGGTCTGAAATTAGATGTGCTTTGAAAGAGGTAGGCAGGGCCAAGTGCTGGGTCCTTGTGGGACAGAGTCAGTGGCCTGAACCTCATTATGAGTTGAAAGAAAGCCGCTGAAGGATGTAAGCATTTCAGAGGACCACTCATGCTTGCAGGGAGAGGGTAAAAGGACAGGAGCATCTAGGAAGGTATTCTATCACCCCACTTGTGGCTTGGGTTAGGGGGACAGTGGTGACAGAAAACAGTGAAGATTGTTGACATGGCAGCTCAACAGCTGCCAGCGTCAGAATCCCATGGGTGTGACTCTAGCTGCTCCATTTCTGATCCAGCTCCCCGATTAAGGCTTGGGAAAGCAATGGAGGACTGCTTAGATCATTAGGCCCCTGCACCCTTGTGGCAAACCAAAAGAGGATCCTGGCTTCAGATCAGCTCAGCTCTGGTCGTTGTAGCCATTTGGTGAATGAACTGACAGGTAGAGCATCTCTCTGTGTGCCTCTTATTCTCTCTGTAATCCGCCTTCCAACGAAAAGAAATAATCTTAAAAAAATGGTGAAAGACCGAAGACAAGTTTTGGAAGCAAAGGGACACAGGACACAGGCACCCCAAGGATCACACTGTAACCCACGGCAACACAATGTTGGCTGAGTTGGCAGGCAGCTACATGCAGACACTGAGCAGAGCAGGCTGCAGGATACATTCCCCAGCACTCCAAAGCCAAGTGTCGGCTGGAGCCATGCACTCAGGACCATGAGCACAGGGGGGATGATGAGACTCCTTTAGGCCTCAACCTCACGTAACAAACACCAATCAGTTGACAGCCCACACCTACTGACTCAGAGCCTTGGGAGGGGGCGAGAGACTTCCTCCAGCCAACTCCACCAGGCCAAGGGGGAGGTGTAAATGTGAGCCCTCAGCTCAGTTGTGTCTTTCCTGCAGCTGGTAACTAACTGGCAAGAAGACAGGTTAATGACAGAGGTGAGCAAGAGAGGGCTGCCCCATAAGCAGAACTCTGCTAAGACTGCATGGCACTGCCAGGATGAAGAGAGCTGTGTCTGATGCCCAGATTTGGTCTTGGTGATAAGACGCAGGCTGTGGCTATGACAGCAGGTGGCAGACTATATTTGGAAATGAACAAGTCCAGAAACCAGGACCCCAGAGGGCTAGCAGGCCTGTCCAGCCCGAGATGGAAACCTTAGAGGGAGACAGCATCAGCAGGCCGTGGAGCTGAGTGTCGCTGGTAATATTATCAAACAGCATAAGCTTCCAGGAGTTGGTCTTTTCTTCAACATTGTAGGAGTGGACCTGGCGTGATAGCCTAGTGGCTAAATCCTCGCCTTGCATGCACCAGGATCCCACAAGGACATGAGTTCATGTCTCGATCACCTCACTTCCCATCCAGCTCTCTGGGAAAGTAGTCAAGGATAGCGCCAGGCCTTGAGACCCTGCACCCATGTGGGAGACCTGGAAGAAGCTCCTGACTTCTGGCTTCGGATCGGCTCAGCTTATGGTCATTGTGGCCATTGTGGGGAATAAACCAGCAGATGGAAGATCTTTCTGTCTCTCCTTCTCTCTGTAAATCTGCCTTTCCAATCAAAATAAAATAAACGTTTAAAAAAAAAAATTGGAAAGTGTCCCTTGAATCTGTCACAAATGAGTTCATTCTCTTTTTTAAAAACTCCTTATAATTTGTGTTGAGCTAGAACGCTCCAGTCTGATTTCCAACACTGCACAGTGAGGGGGACAAAGGCTTACCATGTAATACTTGATTTTCTGCAGGATGTCGTCATTGGTCATGATAAGCTCCTTTGCTGTTGTTCCATCTGCTATGTTGGCTAGGATGCACAGTGTCTGCAAAAGAACAGAGGCAGCAGTCACAGGGACAGGGCACCCCAAAGTCCTGAGTCACGCTTCCTCACGCTGTCATCTCCCACCTGCAGGCGCGCAGCCCCCAAGCATCACGCTCAGTTCCTGACATCTGATACCATTAATCACACCCGAGCGAGATCTGCCTTGGAGAAGCCACTCTGGTGGTTTTGCAGGGCACAAAACCATAGCTAGGCAAAGGCAGCCATGATTTACAGGGGACACTATGACAAATCAAAAGGAAATGTGCTTTATTTGTGAAGTTTTGCAGAATTTCACCTTTATGGCAAGCTCTTGTAACTAATGCACAGGCTTATCAGACGTAGACTCAGTTCCGGAAGCTTGACCGCTAGAGCAAGTCCACTCCCTTCCCTGGCCTCCACTTGCCAACTCCCCGGCCATGATGTCCTGCTCACCAGCCTCACTGCACGTGTAGGTTGAACTGACTCATTTGGCAGGCAGAGAAAGGGGAGCACGTGTGTGAAGAGGCCTGGGACCTGGAAGGAGCCAGCGCCTCCGTGCCGATGAACACAGTCTGTTCTTGGTCAGCTGTTCCATGCTCAGGCTGAGGGCCAGAGGGCAAGGGCCAGGGGGCAAGGGCCAGGAGAAAGGAGGAAGCAGTGCGGGGCAGGGACGGCGAGCCAAGCCAGACCCAGCAATTTCGCACTTCCTGGGTACCTTTCATGGGCATGTTCTCTGTAGGGAAGCAGGACACGCGTCCTGATTTTGAGGTTAACTACCTCACTGTGGAGCGACTCTGAAAACAGAGAATGGGAAAGCACTAGAAGTATTGTTGGACACTGCAAGGATGTGAGCAGGGACCGAGCACAGACTCAATCTCCAATTTGTGAGAGTCAACCCATTTCTTTGTGAGTAACACTAATCAGTTAGATAAGGAAGCCCTTTGCTGTCCATGGCCCAACTTCCTAAATGCCCTAACAAGTGTGTGAGAATACTGCGTGTGAATCCTGAGGTGTGAACAGAAAACACTGCCTCAAGAGGAGGGGAAAAGGCCTAAACAGTGACTAGAAGACTCGATCCCAGGCCAGTTAGACCATAATGAGAAGAGAGCCCTAAAGTGGAGGAGTTGCCAAAGCAGGGCCACTGTAGTGGGGAAGGGGTAAAGTTGCTGTCTGCAGGGCTGGCATCCCATGTGGGCACCAGTTTGTGTCCCGGCTGCCCCACTTCCAATCCAGCTCCTGGAATGGCCTGGAAAGGCAGGGGAGACGGCCCACGTCCTTAAGCCCCTGCTATCCACGCGTGCAGACCTGGAAGAAGCCCAGGCCTCTGCAGCCATCCGGGAAGCGAGAGTGGATGGAGTCCCGTCTGCCTTTCTGTAACTCCTTCAAGGCAACAGATGAATTTTTAAAAATTTCTTTAAAATTTAATTTTTAGAAAAGATTTTATTTAAAAAAACAGAGCTTCAGAGAGCTGTCTTCCATCTGCCTGTTTACTTCCCAGTGGTCACAGCAGGAGAGCTGAAGCAACCAAAGGCAGGGACCGTTAGCTTCCCCTGGGCCTCCAGGACGGTGCAGACCCAAGAACTTGAGTGATCCTCGCTGTTTCTCAGGCCACAAGCAGGGAGCTAGATCGGCAGAAAGGCAGCTGGGACACAAACCGGCACCCACATGAGAAGAGTTGCCACAGATAGAGGCCAGCCAAATAAACGAATCCAAGAAAAAGGAGCTAGCAAAGCGATGCTTCACATAAACACTGGTACATGGTGACTCTATAACTCCTATTCATATGTTATAAAAAGTCCATACTCTTCTGGGTAGTCTCTAGTGGGAAAGATCCTACGCAGGGACAGACCGAAGCACGACAAATGTCATGAACAGTAGTGAACTGGTTTGGGAAGGAGTTGACAGCCAAGTTCAAGGTGACTACAATCATGTGAGCTTGTTCACCAGACGTGAAATGAGCACAATACCCAGAGCTGAGCCATCCGAGGCCAGGAGCCAGGAGCTTCTTCCTGATCTCCACATGCACACAGGGTCACAAGGTCTTGGCTCGTGCTCTGCTGCTGTCCCAGGCCGCAGACGGCAAGCTGGTCGGGAAACGGAGCAGCCAACAAGCCCTGCGGGATGCTGTGCTCAGACGGGAGGTTTAACCAGGCGAGTGATCTGCTTTTGGCACTACCAGCACAGACACACGCACAGCAGGCTTGAGAAGTACCAGAGAGCTACAGTCCGACACCCACACAAGTCTAATGTTTCTATGGAGACAAGTCACCAAATCTTAAAGAGATCAACCAATTTGTATGTTAAATCAATTAGCTCAACACCTGAAATTCAATCAATGAAACTGACCATACTAATCAGACTGAAGAAAGATTTCTACTGACACAGAAAATGTAACTGCCAAAAGTGTAATATATAATCATGATTAAAAATTCAATCATTGGGCCCAATGCAGTAGCCTAGTGGCTGAAGTCCTTGCCTTGCACGCAACAGGATTCTATGTGGGTGCCGGTTTGTGTCCAAGCTGTCTACTTCCCTTCCAGCTCCCTGCCTGTGGCCTGGGAAAGCAGTTGAGAACGGCCCAAAGCTTTGGGACCCTGCACCCGCATGGGAGACCTGAGGAGGCTCCTGGCTTCGGATCAGCTCAGCTCCACCTGTTGCAGCCACTTGATGAGTGAACCAGCGATTGAAGATCTTTCTGTCTTTCCTCCTCCCTGTAAATCTGACTTCCCAATAAAAATAAACAAACTTTTAAAGAAAATAAAAATGAAACCCAGTCATTGAGACAGGCACCTGAAGTAGCCAAGATGCTGCTCGTGATGCCCCATCGCAGAGTGCCGGGTTCAAGCCCCAGTCCCCCTGGCAGCACCCGCTTCTTGCTGTCCTGAGCAGGAGGCAGCAGAGGAATGATGGGAGGTGGCTCACGCAGTGCGTGACAACGGCTCCACTCTGCACTGCTCCCCGCCTTTACCCCACAAGACTAAGCCCGAGGAGTGCTGAAGGAGCTGTCCTGTGCAGCTCTGGGTATTTCAGGAGGCTCCTAAGACTTCTCCCCACGGAGAGACAGCACGTACCTGCTCTTTGACCTCGATGTTGTGCTCCCCTTCCAGGATAAGGGTCACAGCTTGCATGATCTGTTTCCCATGAGTACTCATTATTTTATCTATGTGCTGTAAAACAATGGGAAACCCACAATTATCCTCCGGAAACAAAGCGAAGGACCACGGCACAGAAAGCTTCTAAAAGTTAAATACTGAAGGGATGTAACTGTTTTAAATAGAACAAGATGGGAAAGAACAGTGTATACTGTGTTCGGAAGCTGCATTTTGCCTTCAAAAACATCTTTATAATTACTTGAACACAGAGCTGGTCTGAGGAACACTGGGTTGTACTTGCTGGGAGTCTTCAAGCCCAAAGACACTAAAGAACAGCAAAGCCCGTATGCGCCTGCTCTTCCTCCTTGAAGGAATGACTGAAGAAAAGCTAGAGACATGGAAAATACCATGCAGATTTACTACACTGCCTGGGAGCCCAAACGCAGACAACTCAAGAGACAGGTGAGTCACAGAGAGGCCCCCCACGGCTCCTCGTCATCCTGAAGGCCACTGCCACTGTCGGAACGGCAGAGGACACCACTGAGTGAGTCTGTCAGCAAGACTCAGCCTTACTCGGCCATGTTGCACTGCTCTGCACACCGACCTCTTCAGAGGCCAGGCCTAGAGAAGTGCATGCAGGGGCGGGGGAGACAAACAAGTTAAGGAATGACACTAAGAATTCTCTAAAAGTAACATGGCGAGGATTCTCAAAGAAATGATTAAGGCCAACGAGAAGAGCCACTGTGGCCAGCAAGCCCGGCAAGAACAGAGTAAGACACCCAGAAGGCACAGGCGCGGCACACCGTGGCTCAGGGACACAGTGGTGCAAGGAGGGCAGGGGAGGAGGCCCTGGCGTCCACTCCCGGCTTCTGCAGGGCAGCCCACACTCACAGGGGCAGCACACAGCGACTCTGCAACTCAGCCACAGGGCCACCTTTTCTGGAAGACTGAGTGATTCAACTTACAGGCCGAGTAGAGAGGAGATTCCTTAGAAGGCCCAAAGTCTTCATCAGCACGTTCAAATCTGAATCTGATAACAACCGGAATAGCTGTTCAGTACTCAAGCTTCGCAAAATATCCGCTTTAATTTTTTGTTCAGCCTGAAATGCCATATTCTGAAAGGATTAAAGAAGTTGGAAGTTGTTTTATTATATTTGAACAGTAACTGATACTGTTGAAGAACAGATAGTAACGGGAGAAAATTCTTAAATAAAAGCCACGCTGTTTTTGTTTGTCAAAACAAAGGGAACTCTCCCTTGTAAACATACAACCGGAACAGGCACATGCCCGCTTTCTAACAGGGAAGTCTGGAAAGACTTCTCAAATGAATACAAAATTGATGTATGACTTGAGAATATTTTAATGGTTATCAAGTTCTGTTTTACATACTTTATAACTAGTACAGCATGCATTTTAACAAAAGATTCATCTATTTTTCAATGGAAAGGCAGATTTATAGGAGGACAGAAAGATCTTCTTTCCACTTGTTAACTCCGCAAGCAGCCTCAATGAGCACAGTGGGGACAACCCAAAGCAGGAGCCAGGAGCTTCCTCAGGGTCTCCCACGCAGGTGCAGGGTCCCAAGGCCTTGGGCCGTCCTTGGCTGCTTTCCCAGGCCACAGGCAGGGAGCTGGATGGGAAGTGGAGCAGCTGGGACATGAACCAGCTCCCACATGGGATCCTGGTGCATGCAGAGTGAAGGATTAAGCCACTGAGCCATCACACCAGGCCCTATGCCATGCACCTGAGAATGATTTCAAAGTGCTCATTTTATGAATGAAAATAAGCAGTATGTTTGTGAACTCTACTTGACTGGAAACATCTACTGTTTGTAACACTATGCCAGCTGTTGTCTGAAACCACAGAGGTCAGCAGCTGTTTTGCTACTTTTTCCCTAGCGCACTTATGGATCAGCTCAACTTCATCCCAAGAGCTGTAATAACACGGAAGAAGACAAAAGTGGAAAATGTGGCAGATTCCAAATAAAAAATAAATCAACTTCTGGGATAAAGATCTATAAACTACAGACTATAATAGTTGTTACTACCTTCCAGGAACTGATTTCGATTGTTGTAAGACACGAGGGATCAAGGTACTGAACAATGCAAGGCAGAACTGTGGTGTCTGCTAGTGTGGTACAGCTAAGCTGGTATCCCATATTGGAGAAATGGTTCAGGTCCTGGCTACTCCACTTCCAGTCCAGCTCCTTGCTAACATTCTTGGGAAGGCAGTGGAGGAGAGTCCAAGTAGTTGGGCCCCTGTACGCCATGTGAGACCCAGAGGGTGTCCAAGATTCCTCCCTTCAGCCTGCCGCAGTCCCGGCCACTGCAGCTATTGTAGAGCGGCTCACAAGATGGAAGCTCTTTTCCTCTCCATCACTCTATCTTCCAAGCAAATTAATAATTAAAAAAAAAAAATGTTGAAGTGCTTCAAGGCAATGATGGTCCCAAGGACACAGAACACAGCAGCTGCTAAGAGGGAGGCTGATGAGAGTAGGATGTCCGTGGGGATCTGAGGCCTGGATGTTAAGCAGCTTTCAGATCCAAGGCCCACGGCCACGGAGGCGGAAGATCTCAGGGCAAGGCAACAGTTAGGGCTGTGTCTGTAGAGATGAAAATAATCGCCTTCATCAGGTCAGGATGAAACTGTGACAGACCAGCACTGTGGCTGATAAAGCCACTATTTACGGTGCTGGCGCCTCATTTGGGAACGGATTTGTGTTCCAGCTGCAGGAGATGGCCCAAGTATTAGGTCCATGCAGCCATCCAGGAGAATGGCTGAGGCTCCTAGCTCCTGGCTTCCAGCTGGCTCAGCTCTGGCAGCCATCTGAGGAGTGAACCAGCAAATGGAAGATCTCTCTCTCTCTCTGTGTCTCTCTTTCTCTAACTCTGACTTGCAAATAAACTCTTTTTATAAAAGGGAATGGAAGCAAGGAACTGAGGGCTCATCTCCCGAGAAGGTCAAAAAGGATTCTAGGTACAAAGTGGTTTAAAAAAAAAGGTCCTGGGTCCGGCACAGTGGCCTAGCGGCTAAAGTCCTCGCCTTGAATGTGCCGGGATCCCATATGGGCACCGGTTCTAATCCCGACAGCTCCACTTCCTATCCAGCTCCCTGCTTGTGGCCTGGAAAAGCAGTCGAGGACGGCCCAGACTTGGGACCCTGCACCCATGGGGGAGACCTGGAGGAGGTTCCTGGTTCCTGGCTCTGGATCAGCATAGCACCAGCCGTTGCGGTCACTTGGAGAGTGAATCAACAGATGGAAGATCTTCCTCTCTGTCTCTCCTCCTCTCTGTATATCCGACTTTATAATAAAAATAACTAAATCTTAAAAAAAGAAAAAGGTCCTAGGAAAAGTTCTGTTAAAAGCTATGAAAAATTACAGGTAAAGGATGTGAAACTATCAGATCTAATGCTTTCTGACTACTACTTCTATCCAAAAGTTCATGTGAAAACACAGCAGACAGGGAACAGCACGAGGAGAGCACACCGGAGCAGGTGGAGAGCCCCGGGCGTCACTGTGGGCCAGAAAGTCCTTGCGAATCCCTGTCCCGAATCCCAGATTCCTATTTAGAGCATCAGCATATACCTGCATAATAAATGTAATAACATGTAGCTTGGTGTCCAGCATACAGCAATTAAGCACTAACTACTTTAACTACATTGAAAAATTCTACATAGGATTTTACTTTCTAATTTCAATACAATTCATTTTCATAATATGAAAGAAAATGGTTTTCTCACTGAAATTTTAGAATCTAGATTATTATAATTATTTACTATAAACTATTAGGAATTACTAAACATTTATACCTGAATCTGGTCATCTTAGGCAATTAATCATTTTGCAAAAATGTTAACAATATGAGATGACAGAGATGGTAGGTATCTCACTTAGCCACTCAATAACACCTGCGTGGACCAAAACATCACGCTGCAAACCCTAACTACGTGACTTAGACTTGTCAATTAAAAAATAGAATCTGCCTTAATTTACTTATCTGTAAAAGTGGATAAGAACACATTTCAGCTTCTTTCATAAATTGGTTCTAAGAGCAAAGGAGAGATGAAAGTGCTTCTTAGAGTGGGTGGTCTACACATGTCAATAAGCTTATTACAAGGAGAATATGTTCCGCCCAAATCAGACAAAGTAAGCTTAAAAATCTGTTCACTTCCCAAATAATAAATATGACAATCATGGCATATAGTAGCTAAATAATCTGCTGTAAACTGACTCTGAAATCTGAATACTGAGTCTTCTAGTTTCTAAAAATTAGATCATAAGAAAACAGGGTTTAGAAGAGCAAGATTTTTCAAAATGAAAATGCCAGACATTTCAAATAACACGGTCTTTAGTTCTCGTGTTGCTAACAGCTCTGCTTTATTTGTGAATTACAAAATACATAAAAGGGTGAAACATACCATTAAGGCCCAAATCCCATTCACTCGTAAAGCAGGATTTTCACTTTGGGTTAATCCGCAAAGCAGCTCTACTGCTCCTGATTCCAAAATAGGCTGTGATTGGAAAGAAAAAAAAAATAAGCTGTTTCCAAGTCAAATTTGCAACCTCATATGCTTGCACTTATTGCCAGATATATCTTCTTTACACTTTCACAAAATGATAAATTATTTTCACAAAGCAGGAAGTGATCAGGCCAGAAAAACTACCTTGAGATAGAAACGATTTCTCACAAATCAAAGAACAAAATAATTTCTGTCATTTTATTTGTAGGCCTGGACAGTATCCTAATTATATATTTCACACACATGCAGCTGCTTAAAAATTTTTTGCAAATATGGAATTAAAAGATAAATTTTGATAGTTTTTAAAAAGTACATTCACATAAAGGGATCTTCAAAAGGCCCATCAGAAAAATGTACATTATTAAAAAATTATTCATAGTTTTCAAAAATTTTTGCACACCAAAATAAATGTTTTCATTGTATTTCCACAACTTTGTCCATGTACCCCCACACTCATGTGGTCTTCTCAATTCTCACCCCCCTGAAGTTCTGTTTTGCTAACATACGAGTTGTGTGTACTTTCTGTGTCCACGGAACAATCTGCTTTATTTTAAAGAAAAAGAAATTTCACAACCAGATCTTTTTTTCAAACTGTAGATCTTATTTTAGTCACATTACAGAACACATCATTTAGGACGATTTTCAGAACTATTTATCAATCACTTCAGGAAAACATTCTACTTTTGTACATTACATGTATTGTTCTGCAGCTTGTCTTATTTATAACACTTGGCTAACAGCAGATTTTTGTTAATTTCTTAGAAGAAAAATGAGTCTCTCAGGGTAAAATTTATGCTTCCCAACAAGTGTTTAAAAGCTATCTGACAAGTAGGTGCTAAAAAATGTCTTACATAATAAACATGATGGTTAATACCAGGTGTCATCATCAGCAGACTGAAAACTACCCAGGAACCTGGAAAAGCCTAATTTTGTGAGACTGTTTCCAGAACAAGTCGGCTAGCAAATCGGAATGGACACAGTGAGGCAGACTCACGTGCGTGGGGACAGGCAGCCCCGGGGGAGGCCTTTGGATCTGCACTGAGCCACACGAGCAGCACAGCGCAGTGTCACACCCCGTTCTGAAGACGACATTCTGAATAGGGATAATTGTAATATTTTCTAGACTTTATCTTGAAATTGTGATGTTTTCTAAAACTTTATTTTATTTGAATAAGTTCAAACTTGAAAGTAGGAAGAACAACAGAAGGAACTCCCACATTTTCTGTTCCCAGAGGAACTTCCTTTCAAGACTTTGACACACTCTTCAATTCATGACTTCATGGTTCACTCTGCACCCTTGCACCTACATTATTTACTGCTGTCGAATCACTAAAAACTAGTGTGCACACATCATGTCCTGTTGTCCTTAACACCCCAATGTATATTTCTTTAAAAATACTATTTCAACAGTAGGATTAACAGAATGGAGGGCAGGGAGAGAAGAGTGAGACACACACAGAGACGGAAGGGGTAGGCAAGAAGACTTACAACCACTGGCTCAGTCCCCAGTGGCCACAACAGCTGGGCCTGGGCCAGTCCAGGAGCCTGGAATTCCACTCAGGTCTCCCACACAGGCAGCAGGAGCCCAGACACTTGGGCTCTCGTCTGTTTGTCCCGACACATTAGCAGGGAGTTGGAGTGAAGTGGCATAAATACTGCAGGAGTGGCTTAACCAACTGTCTCACGATACCAGCCCCAAAACAAGGACACTCCTTTGAGATTATCATAGCCTAGCAATCAAGTTCAACATCAAGCCAAAACAACATTTTTCTCTGGAGTTCATATTTCAATTTTTTTCAATTGACACCAAATGTTCCTTAATCGTATTTCCATCTTTTCCACTTTATTTTGAATAAAAGAAAAAATATCAAACATATTAATGGTTCTATGTCTGAGCACAACTATTTCCTCACCAGGCTCTGCACATTCTGCAGCAGAACTGAGGCAACAAGAGTTTGAGGACTGCTGACGGCAGTGTGCCGCCGTACCAAAGCACCGGCAAGCGAGCAGCTCAGGGAACACGTGGAAGCCCTGCATTCTGCCTTACCTCTCTTTTCCTTACAAATACTTGCCAGTTTTCCTGTTTTTGTGCCAAGATCTCTGCTTGTTGAATAACCATCTCTGACTCTCCATGCTTTATTAACACTGCCTTCCTAATCAGTCAAGGCCTACATGTATCACAACACAGAAAATAAATTCAATAAAAATGAAACTACTAAATGCGCAGTAAACCTGAGCTCACGTTTGGGCAGACCACAGACATTAAAGACATTAACTTTACCAGGTTTTTCCCTTCTTAATAAAAGTTTATCTTAATTTTCCCACTTAGCAAAGTAACACAGGAACAAATAACTTATAAACAGCAGAAATGGGGAAAAAAGGTTCGTACAGGCAACTCCTCCACAAACACCCATTAACACCAAACATCAAAGACCTGCTGCCTGCTGCCGGCAGCCACCTCCCTGAAATGACCTAGACTGAGGCTGAACTGACCCTCTCCTGAATACAGCTTTCCAACAGTCTATTACTTAGGCCATTACGTTCCACATCTGCAGTTTTAGAGTTTAGATGGACTACAAGCTCTCTCTAAAACAGGTGGACTCTGTGAGGTGGAATAAATCATACTTAAGAACTAATTACTGGGCCCGGCGCAGTGGCGCAGTGGTTAAGGTCCTCGCCTTGCATGCCCAGGATCCCATATGGGCGCCAGTTCTATTCCGGCAGCCCCAGAAAGCAGTCGAGGACAGCCCAAAGCTTTGGGACCTTGCACCTGTGTGGGAGACCCGGAAGAGGCTCCTGGCTTCGGACTGGCATAGCATCGGCCGTTGCGCTCACTTGGGGAGTGAATCATCGGACGGAAGATCTTCCTCTCTGTCTCTCCTCTCTGTTTATCCGCCTTTCCAATAAAAAAATAATTAAAAAAAAAAAAACTAATTACTTACTTGCTGCTTCTCTTTCCTCAGAATAAATTATTCATTTTGTACTAACCTCTTTGCTTGGAGAAAACTCAAGAAGAAGATTGCATAGCATGGAAGATGCTACCACAAGGATTTCATCAGGTGCATTTTGTAAAACCTACAGAATTAAAACAGGGATATCATCATTAGTTTGAAATCATGGGAGTTAGGATCACAGAAGACTAAATAAAAACATAAACTATCACCTTTCAAGCAACTTCTTATTTTGGAGATGGTTATGACAAAAATCACTTGGAACTGGGTCAAAGTTGACCTATGATGATGACTAAAGCCTCATGCTGCTCCTGGTTGGAGCAGCTACAGCCTCACTGCAGGTGTTACGCAAGGAGACAGACCCGTCATGGAGGGGTACGGTAGGTTAAAAGCTTGAAGGTCACGGTGTTTTTGGTCGCAAGTTAACTGACTCTACTTCATCACAACTGGCCACTTCTCAATCTGCAGAATTGTCCGAGTCTGATTTTTCGGAACCATGTCCCCAAGAGGTTGTCTGATGGAGACCTTGGGCAGGGCAATGCAGGGGGCAAGGCGCCAACACTAGGATCACACAGACTCACTAGCTAGACGTGAGAACCAAACAGACACATCTTAATCTCTCCAAGTCTTTGTTTCATATCTAAAAATTAAGGAAAGTAGTATCTCCTTGATTAGACTACCAAGGATTAAATGCAGTATGAATAACAATAACAGAAGTATCATAGCATGGGAATTAAAAACAGACTAGGTATACAAAGTTAAGCTCAACAACCTCAGACACCAGAATCTGCTTCGCAATGTGGACGTTAATATGAAAAAAGATTTTAGAACATTAACCAGCACAGAGTAATAACTTTGTTAATTTTTTTTAAACAAGGTAAGTTACTGCCAGAACTGCAGTTGTTGTCAGGCGTAGCATCAGGCACACAGCAGGTGTACAATAAACTAACAGCATGGTGATAAACGTTAGCTGCTACTAGCTGCTATCGGAATCTATTCTTCATAAACTCTAACACAGAAAGTTTCATAAACACTGTCACTTAGCAACAACCTCTTCAGTTACTGTGTACAGTGCAGATCAAACTGGGCTCAGGCTTATGATGGTAAAAGAAGTCCTGGGAACTGGTGCACAGGTTCAAACGCCTAATCTTGTGCCTACAAGTACCAGCATCCCACGTGGATGCTAGTTCGTGTCCTGGATGCTCTGCTTCCTATTCAGCTCCCTGCTTGTGGCCTGGAAAAGCAGCAGAGGATGGCTCAAAGCCTTGGCCCCTGCACCTGTGTGGGAGACCACCTGGGAGAAGCGTCTGGGTTTTGGCTTCAGATCAACTCAGTTCCAGCCACTGTGGCCATTTGAGTAAGGACTAGCAGATGGAAGATTTCTTTCTCTCTCTCTCTCCTCTGTAAATCTCTTTCCAATAAAAACAAATAAATCTTTTTTGTTTTTTAAGTTGTTCTTAGGAGCTCCAGCTCTACAAACTAGAAATGGATAATCCCAAACACTTTGAGTTATGTATATTTCCTGCTTTCTTCAGTCAAACCAAGTCTGAATTTCCAAACTTAAAAATAAGTAAGAAAGTAGAAACAATTATTCAAAAATACTGTTTTAATCCTCTTGTTTACGATTAGTTGGTAAGACCAAAACTTTCATGTCTTTCACATGGTAATCAGGGTCTTCACACCTCACCAGTCTCCCAAGCTCCCTTTGCCAACCCAAGTCCTCTACCTATTGTGTGGTTCTGACAACCTGCTCTTTTACCAACACAGTCAAGCTTCATGAAGGACCCTTCCACATTCGTGAAGGACCCTTCCACGTTCATGAAGGACCCTTCCACGTTCATGAAGGACCCTTCCACGTTCATGAAGGACCCTTCCACGTTCATAGGCTTCAGGGCCAGGGTCACTTACAATGCCAGGATCTCGTATCAGGCTGCCAGGTTGAGTTCTGCCTGCTCAGGTTCAGATCCAGCTCCCAGCTAACGCACTTGGGAAAACAACAGGAAGAGGGACAAGTACATGGGCCCCACCCACTCATGTGGGAGATCCAATGGGGTTCCCAGCTCCTGGCTTTGGACTGCTCCAAATATGGCTGCTGCAGCCATGTGGGGAGTGAGCTAGCAGACACAAGATTTCTCTCTGTCGCTCTCCTTTCAAGCCATGTTCAATGGCATTGAACAAACTCTTCCATATGGCTGGTGTGTGTCACTTTGAAAAAACAGAAAGCAGCAATAAAAGCACAATTTTGACTATTTACATGGTCAATATTGTGGCACAGTACATAAGGCCATTGCCTGCTGTGCTGGCATTCCATATGGGCTTCTCTGCTTCCCACCTTGCTCCCTGCTCATGTCTCGTGAAAGCAGCAGCTAATGGTCAAAGTGCTTGGGCTGACCCGCGTGGGAGAGCCATATGAAGCCCCTGGCTCCTTGCTTTTGTCTAAGTCCAGCCTGGTCATTGCAGCCATCTGGAGCACACACCACAGGAAAGATGATCTTTCTCCATGTCACTCTGCCTTTTGAATAAATCATTTAAAAAATTTATTTACTTGAAAGGCAGAGAGAGGGAGAGACAGAGATCTTCCAGCTGTGGGTTCACTCTCTAGATGGCTGCAATGGCCAGGGCTAGGTGAGGCCCAAGCCAGGAGCCTGGAACTTGCTCTGCATCTCCCACATGGGTGGACAGGCTCAAGCATTTGGGTCATTTTCTCAGGTACATCAGCAGGGAGCTGGATCAGAAACAAAGAAGCTGGGGCTGAAAGTGGCACTCAGATATGGCATGTAAGCACTGCAGGCAGTAGCTTAAACCACTGCTCAACAACGCCAGCCTCCTGGGAAGCCTCATATTAAATCCCACCTGTACTAGCAAAGATGTCTGTGCCGTCTGCCACACATACTACATGTAACATGTTTTTATCCTTGTTCTTCTTCTCGCTGGGCAATCTTCCTGCCTTCCTTTTGCCTTCAGCACCATGTCATATTCCTGGTGCTGGAAGCTTTTCTGTTTCTAACACAGCAACAGTTCCACTCTCACCTAAAGCCTTAGCGCACAGCTCTGCAGTGAAAAACCACAGCAGCCGGCTACACCTCAAACATTTCCCTAGAACACAGAATGCACTCAAAATAAAACAAAAACTCAAAAATTGTGTGGATTGAAGCCAGCACAGTGACTCAACCGGCTAATCCCCCACCCACAAGCCATCCCATGGGCACCAGTTCATGTCCTGGTTGCTACCCTTCCCATTCGTTTCCCTGCTTATGGCCTGGAAAAGTAGCAGAGGATGGCTCAAGTTCCTGGGACCCTGCACCTACATGGGAAACCTGGAAGAAACTCCTGACTCCTGGCTTTGGATTGGCTCAGCTCCAGCTGTTACAACCACTGGGAAATGAACCAGCAGATGGAAGATCTTTATCTCTCTTTTGCTCTGTAAATCTGCCTTTCCAATAAAAACAAATAAATATTGGAATTTTTTTTTTATGGACTAACTATAAGATATAAGGCCACTTAAGAAAAAAGACAAGACCAATTTGACCAGTGGGTCTGTAAGGCAACAGAGGATTTACTCTTGCAGTAACTGCCTGTAAAACCTTAAGTCTTCACTCAGACTCATTCACCCTGAATTTATTTCTTGATGTGCATATGGGGAAAACTCCTCAAGAGAATATCTAATTCAGAAAGTTACACTAAAAAATATCTGGGCTGGCCTGGCACAATAGTCTAGATGCTAAAGTCCTTGCTTTGCACATGCCAGGATCCCATATGGGCGCTGGTTCGCGTCCCAGCTGCTCCACTTCCCATCCAGCTCCCTGCTTGTGGCCTGGGAAAAGTAGTTGAGAATGGCTCAAAGCCTCGGGACCCTACTCCCGCTTGGGAGACCTAGAGGAAGCTTCTGGCTCCTGGCTCCTGGCTTGAGGTCAGCTCAGATTCAGCCATTGTGGCTATTTGGGGAGTAAATCAGTGGACAGAAGAGCTTTCTTTCCTTTTCTCTATAAATCTGCCTTTCCAATAAAAATAAATAACTCTTTTTTTTTTTAAGATTTATTTTTATTATTTTTTTATTGGAAAGGCGGATATACAGAGAGAAGGAGAGACAGAGAGGAAGATCCTCCGTCCTTTGATTCACTCCCCAAGTGAGCGCAACGGGTCGATACTATGCCGATCCGAAGCCAGGAGCCTCTTCCGGGTCTCCCACACGGGTGCAGGTTCCCAAAGCTTTGGGCTGTCCTCGACTGCTTTCCCAGGCCACAGGCAGGGAGCTGGAAGGGAAGCGGGGCTGCCGGGATTAGAACCAGCGCCCATGTGGGATCCCGGGCGTGCAAGGCGAGGACCTTTAACCACTTGCGCCACCGCGCCGGGCCCAAATAAATAACTCTTTAAAAAAATATCTGGGCTGATGCAGTAGTGTAGCAAGCTAATTCCCGATCTATGATCTCAGTATCCCATGTGACTGCTGGTTCAAGTCCCAGCTGCTCTACTTCCTGATGCCTGGGAATACAGTGGAAGATGACTCAACATCTTGGGCCCCTGAACTCATGTGGGAGATCCAGTAGAAGCTCCTGGCTCCTGACTCTGGACCAGCTTAACTTGCAACCATTTGGGGATTGAACTAGTGGCGGAAAATCTCTCTTTCTCCCTCTCTCTTTAATACTTTCAATTAAATAAATGAAATCTAAAACATAAATAAAAACAAAATCAGGCATTACCAAGATTACGTGTTCTATCTACATTACACATGTTATCTATACATAGTTGTATTTTTCTGCCTTTCCAATACTGAACATTGCCACGACCACTCTGGATACAACTTGAACATGGCATATGAAACACACAGGAAGGCAAGTAATTGAAGCTTTAATGAAGAAAAAACCAAGCAGGTACTTTCCCTTAAACTCACTACGCACAAAACCAGACATACACCTGGGACCAGGAGGATGCCTGCCGGCTCCACCCAGTGCAGGCTCTCTGGGGCTGCCTCTGCCCTGGTGACTGTCTTACCTTCATTAAAGGTTTCCACACGGCATGATCCTGGAAACTGGTTCGAAGCTGCTGCACAGATCTGGACAGACTGTGCAAACATCTACAAAGAATAATCAGAATTAGCTTCACAAGAAGGTCCAAACAAACTGTGTGGCATTTCACAATTACTAATAAACACGTCAAGTGTATCTACAGGCATGGTCAAGTCATCCACGTCAGGACTCTGGAGGCCTGTTCTGTTAATGCCACACACTGTGAATGCACTTGAGCGTGCTTCCCAGTAACACACGAGGAAGAAGCAGAGAGGAAGCAGGCTGAACACGGGGCAAAGCGTTTTACTGAGACCATGTAAAGCTCATACCTGACGGCAGCTAACCGCACCTTGACACTAGACTCAGACAAGCCAGTCACAATCCGGTCCATCATATTCTCAGTCTCAATGATCTGGAGAAAAAGGTTAATGCTGCATAAATAACAACAGGAAGGTGACAAAGTTCACTGATTGCAAATGCAAGAATGTTAATGGCCACTAAGAGTTTGATGCTGCTTGTGGTACGAGGTTTTACCTCTTGAGCAATGGTCTTGTGGGAAGAGTAGGCGGCTCTCACAAAGGTAGGACCCGCCCACTGAAGGGGTCCTACCACAGGTGGAAGGGAAAGGGTATGTCTGTTTATTTCTAAGACATTTTAAGCAAAGAGAGCAGTAAGTATTAGAGATGCTGCATAAACAACTTGGAGAAAAAGTTAGAGAAACAAGGTGGATTCGCACTGGTAACTTCCTGCTGGAGCGACATTCTGAAAAGTCGACACTTATCCTTCGCGATACAAAACCTGCGGGTTTCTCAGTCGCACTGTGGGTATTTTCTTACTAGGAAAGTTGAAAATAATCCAAATATTTAAACAAAACCCTTGCTGCATCTTATTATGGTACTCCTGCTACATGTATGTAATCACCAGTCATGAAGCTTGTACTTTTAACTTAGGACAGCCTATAGTTTTCTTATAGTAAGCAATGTACAGACATAAAGTACAGAGCGTATGGAAGAAATTCAGGGTAAGTTGTATGGGCCTGGGCCTATAATATAATAAAATGGTAAATGCAACATTATTATTAACAAAAATTGAATACTTTGTCAAATTCTATGTGTCATTAATTGTTAAAAAATGGTATCTGCTTTAACTCTCATTCTCTAACATTATTACGATTATTCTCACTGACATTATTAGGACATTTACAACCTTCTTGGTGTCACAAAGCTGAACCCAAATGATCTGACTGCATAGTCCATATCCATAGTCACACTGATAACACAACTCTAGTTCAAGTGTTTCGAGTACAAGCTGTTCATCCAGCAGTCACTGCTCTCACGTTAAAGAACAGCCAGACAGAAAGAGCTTGATATTCAGGCGAAAAAGGAAAAATAGAAAATAAGGTTTTGAAATTCACAATGACCAGGGAAGAGTGTCAACCACTCAGAGGGAAGCACACTGAACTGTAGGTTACAGTCATTCCTATAAACTATACAGTGGCCAAAACCATCTGGGTGCTGAGCTCCTCACCCCAAAGCAGGCCTGGTCTCAGCCTGGCACATACATGTCCTAACACTTCTAACCCCTAAATGCCTTTCTTGCTCTCCCTACCATCTCAACACTCCCTTCTCTTTTTCCTTGACCTGTATACTCTGCTGAGACATGGCACTCGGCATACTGAGCCCCTTCTCCCGCAGTCCTCCTACACTATCCCTGCTCCAAGTCCTAGCTGTGGTCCCTTCTCCCTGATGCCTCAGCCCCTTTGCCAACCTCTTTTTTTTTGGGGGGGGGGGCGGGAATCTTCCTTTCTGGACACAGGTGACTTAATGTTCTCATTTCCTATTCAAGTGTTTCCAACACTTTTTTGTGCTTCTTTATTCTTTATGATGGAAGCTCAAAGCCCCTTCTTTTACCTTGACCCTAAACTACCTTCCCAAACTTGTCTTGCATTTTTACTCTGCCCTATCCTATTAGATTCTTTCCTCTCAGCCTGCCTTATCTTCCCCAATAGACAGTGTCCAAATTTTAACATCTTGAAGCTACAGCCCTCTCTTCCCTTCCCATTCTTAAACGGATTATTTGTCCCAAAAGTTCTGTCCATGTCTAAACATATGACAATGTTGCAGCTTTAAGGCAAGCTCAGTAGAGGTAATTTCTTAATCTAAAATTCCATCCCAGAGTTCTTTTTCCTGGTCTCAATTTCCATACTCCCTGTTTCTTGACACAAAGTAGACATTAAATGGAACTGTGTATGTCCCATGCTGTATTTATCATTCCCCTTACTCCAGTCCTGGCTAAACCTGCTTTTCTCCAGTTTTCCTATCTTGCTGCTAATGGTATACTCATTTTCCCAGCCACTAAATTCGTACTAAATTTTAAAAATTTTTTCACGCAGTTGAAAAGCAGAAAACAATTGACTGACCCTCTATCGACTGGCTAGCCAATGCCCAGGGCTGGGCCAGGCAGAAGCATGACGCCTGGAATTCTACTTGTTCCCCCATCCCCACTTAAGTGTCTTCTAGCGCCTTACACGATGCATCAGCTGGATGGTAAGTGGACAAATCGGAACTCAAACCAGCATTCCAATATGGGATGTGAGCAGCCCAACCAGTAGCTCAACCCACTGTGCCACAGCAACCACCGCTGTATTAATTCCTTAATAATTGTTTGCCACTGTAAACTATATTCATCCCATCATTATTCCATTCCATTAAAGTCATTAGGACTTTGTTATATTTTCTTGGTGCAACAGCATCGTATTTTCTTAACTACCCAATCTTCTGTGCTACATCAATGTATAAAATGACTGGATAGCTGATAGTTTCCCTCAAGCAAGCGTTAGTCACTGTTCTGAAAACAGACAAGGATGAGTCAAGACTTTTAGCGCAGAAAGCAAACTAGATGCTGGGGCAAAAGTCCTTGGCACTGTAGGGCTAGATGCCTCAAAGTTCCAGGAAGCATGTGAAATCATTTTTGCTTAGGAATAAGAAGCAATAACCTGGGAAGTTATCTATGCTGGATATAGTGAGATAATCAGAAAATAAGGTGGTGATGGTAGGAAACATGGATGGGAAACCTGCTTACTCTCAGTATGGGTAACATGGGCCCAAGCAAAATGTCAAAGAGGCTCCCGGTATGTTCACTGACCACAATCATCCAAAGATAAACGTTTACCAAAAGACAGGACTATTGAAACAATAACGTAGGCATTTTAATAAAGTGTATCAGAGTATAGCTATAGACTGCAAATCCCTGAAATTGCATAGCACTATAAAACTTCTGATTTTACACAACCGATAGGCCAGAAGATTCTGCAAGCTGAGTACGGGCTCCTTTCCAAAGTTAGGCTGATGCTACAAAGACGTAGGGAGAGGGAAGTCTGGTGATTCGAAACAAAATGAGCAGGAAAAGCAGGACAATCCAATGTCACTTCATCCCTCTCTAGCATCCAGTATAATGAAAGCATACGGCAATGATGACTTTACCTCCAACTGTTCGCAATCATCAGTGACCAAAACTCTGTCTGGATAAAACTATCAAGCTGTTCAGAAGCAAAAGGGAAGGAAGGTAGAAGCAGGGACCATAGACGGCACAGGTAAGTCAGGGTGCTTTGCTGCTTGATCTGATGGCAGCAGGAGTCCTTGAGGAATGAGTGCAGCCATGGGAAGGTAGGGGGCAACCACTGCCAAAAACAAGAGTTTACTACTGATCGGGAAAGGATCACTGTTGACATACTCAGGCCAGAGGACGCAACGGAACCGTTACTGCCCTTCACTCCAACACAGTGTGCAGCTCCGAGCTTTCCCTTCAGTCTCCTGAAACCTTGGGAATGGGAAGATAGCTGTAAGACGCCTGGCAAATTCTCCCCAAGTCAAAATAGAAAACAGCAGGGCTTCAGGCACAAGCTGCCCCTTCTTAGACCAGTCTATGATGTCTGCAATAGCAAGCTGCGGTTTCTAAATGAGCTTTTAAGGAAAGAAGTTAGGGTTCTAGAAAGCATACTAAACTGTCTGATTCATCTATTCCATCAAGAACCTCAGCCTGGCTATGAGAATGAAAATAAAATTTAGAACATGAACCCCATACTTCAGTCCAAAAGGGCATGCTGAGACCAAGTGCACGAGTACTATGATCTATGATCTAAGCAGGCTTTGCCAGCCTTGAGGATCGTGATTCCATCTGCTATGTGGATAAAAAAGCTATTACACTGAATGCACTGATAAAATGAGGCAAGAAATGTGATAAGACAGGAAAAGGTTCCAAAATGACTTCACAGAAGTTTTCAGATCAGCACGGAGCAATGTGGTTGTGGTTACTGCCACGGTGCTTTGACACCACAACCATCGAACACAGCACCAAACAGCTCTGCAGGCCTGGGGCTGGAAAGTCAAAGCATTAAGATGTGGGTCCAAGATGCCTTTAACGACTGCCTGTGCCATGCTCTAAAGCCTTTCGACGGAGTGTGCCAAGTCCTAGTCATGCAGAAGCATCTCAGACCGTCCCAGGAGTAGCAGCAAAGCAAACTGCAATTAGAGTTGCTTGTTACTTGGTTCTTTGTTGGAGGTTTCCCAACCAAAGTTCAGCAAATGCACCTTGTGGCAAAGCTGGTGGGATATGCTTTAAAACTGCCCAGCCAGAAGGGGTCCTGATGATGAGCTCAAACCTGAATGGCGAGGCCACCCCTTTCACTGCTTTACGGCAGGCATGGGTTGTGAAGTTAAGTACAGAATTACACCGCAGCGTTGGGCAGGCATTTGGTAAAGCAGTTGGGACATTTCCTGAGCACCCACATCTCCAAACAGTATAAGGCTCCAGCCTTGGCTGTGCCTCTGGACCCCAGTTTCCTGTTCACTAACGAGCACTCTGGGAGTCTTAGGCACCTCAGGTGATGGGTCAAGAGTTTTGGCTTCCGCTACCCACACAGGAGACCTCGACTAAGCTCCCAGCTCTTGGTTTCCAGCCCTAGTTTTGCTGGTGTTTGGGCTGTGATCTGTGGATGGAAAACTTCTGTGTCCCTCTGCCTTTCAAATAAAAATGCTTTAAAATAGATTTTATCTTAAAATGGTCTTTTAAGGTCAGTGGATGGTGTATTACATATCTTCCTGCTAGACCTTCAGTCTTCATGACTAAACGCTTTGACTAAGATTTTTTAAGACTTATTTATGTGTTTTTTTTTTTATTGGAAAGGGAGATTTGCAGAGAGAAGAGGAGACAGAAAGGTCTTCTGTCTGTTGGTTCACTACCCAAGTGGCGACAGCTGGAGCTGAGCAAATCCAAAGCCAGGAGCCAAGAGCTTCTTCCGGGTCTCCCATGCAGGTGCAGGATCCCAAGACTTCGGCCATCCCCTATTGCTTTCCCAGGCCACAAGCAGGGAGCTGGATGGGAAATGGAGCAGCTGGGAAACGAATCGGCACC